TTGTGATAAGATTCCCACATACAGTAATAAACTGTTTAATTAAATTAAAAACAAGAATTTTTGAAAATTTTATTTTATTTTATTGTTTAAATTTATACGTAAACCTAAATCGAAATTAAAGCGCTTTAATTTTTTGCCAAATACATACCTAATCTACCAGTAAAATTTTCGGCGCAACAAAAATTTTCCCTACTTTTCAAACCCTATTAATGATTTTTTATATTACATATTTGTTGTACCTTTTGGCTCTACCCGCCATTTTCACCGTCGAGTAAAGTCTCCTTTTTAACAATCCACATCCTCTAGATTCATTTTACGACACGCTTAAAATATAATTTGCTCCTAATATTCATCGGTAAAAAATAAAATACTCTTTTACCTCGCTAAATGATCAAATGTTTTTATTGTTCTGTTTCTTAGATGTGACCACGTAATACACAATAAAACTAGTTTTATAATAGATATATAACGCTATGTAAAATAGTTGCATAAGAGTTGTATACCCTTTTTATAGAACTTCTATACTACTAAACGGTTGTATAAAAATGGGCCTTTTTTGGTTGTAAAGCTATCATATTACGGTCATATAGCACGTTATATGAATTGATGTATCCTATAAAAATTATCACATAGCTGTTTATACAGCCTTTATAAAATAAAATTTGCTACTTGGGAATAAATAAATAATAAATAACGCTTTATTGTACAAAAAGCCAAAATAGCTTCATCGACAAAGCATTTACAAAACAAACAAAAGCACAAAAAATATACAAATAAAAAAAATATTTGTATATTTTTTGTCTACGCGAATTGAAACCACTAATTGCGAGGTTCTGAATGAAGCGGTAAAAAAAGACGACAAACTTTTTACTTTTCCACTAATAATTATACTTCAAAATTTGCGAGGAATGTCATTCTGGCTTTTTATTATCATCCGTCAGGAGAAATTGTAGTTAGAACTAAAAAGTTTATTGTTTTATAAGTAAATTATTAGGCTTTCCTTATGGATACCACTGACTACAGCAAGTTCTTGCTAGGATTTTCTATTAATTTTAATTGTCTTTTTTAGACATTGTGAATTGCGAGGTTCTAAATAAAGCGTAATAATTCAGTAAATTATACAAGGTTATTTTTAACAGTATATAACCACATAACAATCTTATTCTAGTCCTACTATTGTTGGGCTTATACCGGGTTTACGCTAAGTTAAGAAATTTTTAATGAAACTTTTTAAAGTACTGGATTAGATCAGGCTAACTATCAACTTTGAAACTGTTTTGCTAAGCCCTCTTTAAGTTATTTGAAAAATTAGGTCCTTAAAAAAGTACCACAGAACCATCAGTGATTTAAAGTGTACGACATTGAACGAGCAACGTCGATCAAATTTTTATTTGATGGAAAGCTACTTCCGCCAGAGTATCATTTAATCATGGCGATTTTCTCTTTAATTGAATATTTCATGGCAAAAAAAAATGTTTTAGACTTCAACGTTACGAAAACCTAGCAATGTAATTTTTTTCAAGTAATTTAAAAACGGCTTAGTGGAAGAGTTTCAAAGTTGACAGGGTAGCCTGATCTATTCCAGTACTTTAAAAAAGTCCATTAAAAGTTTATTCTAAAATCAATAGGGGAGGCAATAAACTACACCCTTAAAACATGGGATTTACTATATTAGGCCAGCAAGCCAGGCTAAAAATAAGGCATTACCTCCGAATTCTTGACACCCGCACCGATTGATGTGAAATTTTAACAGTGAATAGAGATATATGTAAGAGAAACAAAGTTACATAATAGCGAAACCTTCCGTTTTATCGCAAAACTCATATAAAGCAAAAATGAAGTTTTTGGAATAACGAATCGATTCATTTTCGATCATATTCATTTTCTTTGAAAAGATTTTACGGTAAAAGGTTGCAATTTAGTTTTCGAAAAAATCACATTTACAGAGTGATAACTCGGCTATTATTACACCTACGGTAATCAAGAAAAAACGAGTTGTTTAGTTATTCCAAAAGCTACATTTTTGCCTTATATAGGTTTTGCGATAAAACGCAAGGTTTTCGAGTTATTTATAAAAAATTGCAAAATATGCAGTTTTTAGATGAAAAATCAACATTTTCAATCCTAAATAACTAAGAAAATATTAATTTTCTGAAAAAATGTTATAGAACATTTTTTGCTTAGAATTCATCCCTTTATTGATTTTTGCAATTAAAATGGGTGATTTATTTTTCCCCCCGAGAAGGGGTGGCACTTCCCCACGAGAAGGGGTGAAAGCGCACATCGCCACTATGTAACTTTTGTTTCTTACATATATCTCTATTCAGTGTTAAAATTTCACGCCAATCGGTGCAGGTGTTCAGAATTCGGACCCTAAAACCCTCGCTTACTGGCCTATAATCATTAACTCCTACAAAAAAGACAAAGTGCTAAAATTAAAAATGATGCTAACGTCACGGTCTGTGGGCCTAGCGATTCTAACACGAATTCGGCAAGACAAAGAAAGAACGTCTCTCTTTCCTTGTTTAACTACGAAATACTCGAAAGCTGAAACGCGCAACCGCAATCACGAAAACCTCGGAAGCATTCGGATCCTACACGGAGAGTTCGGTTTTGTTCGGCGAGAAGCGCTTTGCGGGAATTTTGAACATTATGAATAATTATTTGACCTTAATGAGTATTTTTTGTATGATTTAAAAATACAGAAATGCTGATGAGTTTTTAACTTTGTTTTTAAATAGGACCATAATTTACTCTGCTATTTATAAAAGTCCATCAGCGGTAAAGATCAGCTGAGTTTGACGTAAACCGCGGTTGCGCGGTTCAGCTTCCGAGTATTTTGTCCTTAGAGAAGGAAAGAGAGACTCTCTTTCCTTGTCTAGATAGACGCCGCGTTTGTTTTTGTTAGGTCAATGAATTCGCTCGATTTTATCGATTAGCTATTATTGAACGGACTATTTGATGTCTTTTTTGTACTTTTAACAAATTTAGATAGTGTAGTGTTTGTAGTGTTTTATATGTTGTTCCATAATTGTGTCCCAGGTTAATTTTATGCTAGCGGTACAAAATTGCGGGTGTTTCGGTTTCCCAGAGACAAAAAACTTCGCAAAAAATGGTTAACTGCAATTCCTCGCAAAAATTTGGGCCAAATAACAATAATCTGGTTTTTGAGATGGTGAGTGCCATTTTGAAAAGGAGGATTTTATTTGTGAAATTTCCCAACAGGATACAAAAACCGGTGAGATCGTTTCAGTTAATTTAGTTAATGCCTCGATTAAAAGAAACTAGCGTACCAAGTAAATTTCCGAATTGCCCCAAATATTTATCAAAAAAGATATCATATCGGAAAAGCAAAGACGAAAAATTTAACGAATTAAATCAAATTCGTTTTCAGCAAGCAATTGAACAAAGCAAACAAGAAGATTTAACACATATGAAACTTACGAGTTTTACAACTTTTGAGGAACTTAAACCATTATTTCAGTCTTTTAATTTAACTTGGTTGGTTTTTCATTACTAACGAGAATGGCTTATCCATATTCAAAGTAGAATACACTCCGGGGCCTACAATTACTTGGGCTGTTGTAATTGCCGATAACTTAAAAGTAAATACATATTTATATGGTCAGGTAATAACTTCAGAAGTAAATAATATAAAGACTCCTTTTTTTTCCAGTAATTTGGACGAAATAGGAAATTTACTTGATACAATTGTTTGAATTGTATCAAGAACTTTATATCCAATTTACCTAAAAACCTAAAAATAGAGGATGAAAATTTGTCACAAGGAATTGAATTTATTTCTGATCAACTAAAATTGTGAACATTAGCAAAAGAACGCTATAGATATTCTACCAGCACTATGGTTTTTTGTTCAATTTTACTTGCTTTGGTTGCCATACTCACTCTGTAAAAACCATTCTTCATATTTTACTGAGTTGTATTTCCAATACACTAATTAAAAACTACTGTGGTAAAAAAATGACCGCTTAGGTAAGGGTAATAAGAAAAAAATCAAAACCTACTTAAAATCAATGTATAGAGTATAGAGTTAGCTAACTACTATAGATGCAAACTTCGGAAAATCAAAATTTGATTCGAAAAATTCAATCATGAATTGCATGATGCCTTACTAAATATAATTTATTAATGTTATGGTATCTTGCTGTCTGAGAATTCCAAAAATAAGCATTCTTAAATTTAGATTCTACCTAGTGTATTTCGAACAGTTAAGTGCACGTACATATATATTTATTACCTATACCTGCTTACGTACTTAACTACCATTTAAATTGTTTGTGTTTTTTTATAGATCCTTGCTGTTATTATATGTTTAGATTTATTATTACATTAATCCCTAAAGCTATACCTAAATCGTATAAATCGACTTCAAACATAAAAAACAACACAAAACCCCTTAGAACCATTTAGAACTCGTAGGCCGACGGTCGATGACGTCACGCGGTAGCACTTTGTCTTTGGTATTATAGGAGTTAATGCTATAATGTCCTGTGCCGATATTGTATAACCAGGTTTAAAAAAAAATAGTAGTTTTCGAAAAACATACAGAAATGGGATGAAATGATTTAAGATTTTTTCAACTACTAAATTTATTTTTTCTTTAAAACTATGACCACTAGATAGATATTTGACAGACAAACACACTACCAACAGTTATTTTAGCTTCTACCTCGAGAAATGGCTGCTATTGGTTAAAAAAACGAAAAAAAAATATTTCACCTAGATGGCGAAAAATTTATGTATACTTATGAAAAAATAAAAAAGAAACAACTTAAAAAAATAATCTTAAAATTCAACCAATAAATTCACATCTTTAAATGTCAAATTTGACAGAAATTTAACCCACATTAGTACAATTTAAGACAAAAACTATCACCTCAAAGTCAACCTAGTTTCACCTAAAATTATTTAAAAAAATCCATATGATGGGGGCTTTATACGTGACCCTGTATATCAACCAATAACATACACTTACTTACCATCTTTTTTATAGCTAACACCTAAAATTTGCCCGGGAGTGTCGTCTTCCAGTTCAGCGTAAGCTTGCATAAGAGCCTTCTGTTTCTCGTTGAGCCTAGTTGGAGCCTTAATTTTTAGCGTCACATAGTGATCACCGTGACCATAACCGTTCACTTTCTTCATGCCTTTGCCGCTTAGCCTGATTCTGGTATGCGATGAAGTGCCAGGTTTAATCTAATATTGAAAAAATAGAAAAATATACAGGGTGGTCCGAACTGTAAAAATAAGTAAAAAAGTTAAAGTAAAATGCTTAGTTTCGGAGATACAGGGTGTAGAAGTTTCATTTTTATTTCGATTTTTTCCAAATAATTTCTGAACTAATGTCAATATTTGGATGAAAATTGGTGTTTAGGAGTTTTTTCACACGAGAAATTTAATTTTCACTTCAATATGATTCCTATTTGTAGGGGGCCTACCTACATGTATTTTAATTGTTTTTATGGGAGGGGGTTAAAAATTTTAAAAAATCGTAACTCCAAAATTACAGTAGCTAGCGAAACGCGGTTTTCAATTTAAGATTAGGAATAATATTTGCAACAAAATAACATCAAAATCAGTCAAAGTCGCAGTTTTTGAGATAAAAAAAAATTGGAAAAATTCCTTTACTTTAGAACTGCCTATCAACTTTTTATTAACATATTTTAGTATGGGCGGCTATACGTGCCTCCCGGCGCCAATTTTTTAGTAAAAATATTTTACCTGTATGACGTGATCTTCATATAATCCTTGAATTTTAATGCTACCACCTAACAAAGACTGGGCAATTGAAATATCAGCTTCGGTGTGTACATCAGGGCCGTCTCTTTTAAAATAGTCAGATTTGTCAACTCTAAATGTGACAAAAAGTTCTTTGTTGCCTACTGACATTCTTACAGTCTGTCCATCTTCGATTCCTAATAATTAAAAAATGGTTTTACAAGAAGAAATATTGTATGATAGAAAAATAAAACAGTGTCATGGTAGTTCGTAAAATGATCATGGATAATTATTTTTGTCTTGGCGACCACAAGAAAACATATCTAACACAACGTTTCGACCAATTCTATATACCAACTTTATTTTAAATATTTTACGCTATATACCATACGATCGAAAAAAAAAACGACGTCGTAGAAGGCTCGAGAACAACAATCGGTAATAATTTTGGCTAGGTCAAGACGTCACTACTTGCCTCGTACTCTTCTTACTCTTTACTCGTTCTCTTTACTGCCTTTGGCCTTAAGAAGATTGAAATCTATTTTTATATTGTGTATAATGTATACCGTACTGGCAACTGTTAATTTTGGGTCAGTATTTACATGTGTGGAAGTAAATCGCGTAGAGATCTTATTAAGGAAGGTGCCCGGTGGCGTAGAGATCTCTAAGGCTCTCGTCTACCAATCTGAAGGTAGTGGGTTCGAATCCCACACCCGGCATTTCATCAGCCGACTATTTTTATTAAAATATAAATAATTTGGGTACCTAGGTCGACTCAGCCTTAAATGAGTACTTGGGATTCATAATCCTGAGGTAATAATAGGCGGTTGAAGCGTAGTGCTAACCACATTACCTTCCTTGTATACCGAACGGCTTGTCCCTGACTGTAGTGTCGTGGCCAGGGAATTGCACCAAGACATATAACGATACCGGGCGGGGCTACGGACAGCCTCAACCTTGGGGCACCGGGGGGCACCCCATTGTATTTTACCCCTTACCTTCTACATGCGGGGCTCTGTAGAAGTGGACCGACTGTCCCTAGCGACTCATAGGAACACTATGAGATCTGGTAATAATAGTAATAAAAACATCACCGGTGAAGCTGTGGGGAAACTCCCTAGCGACACTGGGAACAGTAACAATGAAAGTTCCAAGGGGCCAAACCCAAAGAGAACTACAGGAGAGAAAAGTGGCACAAGTCTGACACTTGCGTGAGACCATCCTCCGCAAGTGGCATACAAGCTACCACCTCCTCCAAGGGTCGGGAGCCTACCTCCTACCTCTAAACCCAACAGGCGACACAAGCTACCGTTTCGTCTACCCGGCCTGGGTCGTAGCTCCTCGACTGTGAGGGACACGGGTCTCCGTATGAAGTCCTGGGACTGTATGATGAGTTATAACTCAAGAAAGGGGGACACAATAGATCTCTAAGGTCGCAGAGATTAACCCCCCTCCCACTTATTCTATTATATTCTATTCTATACCAAACGGCTCTAGTATGGCAAGCTGTACCTTGCTACTCCCAAGGCATTAAACGCTATACACGGGAGCTATTATATTATTATATTTACATGTGTGGAAGTAAATCGCATAGAGATCTTATTAAGTCGGAGTGAGAGAAATATATAATATAATAGCTATCAGGTAAAGTAAAATGACGATCGCAAACTGCTTATTTTTAAAAGATTTTTTTTCTAAAAGATAACTACATAAAATCATTAGATATGATTCTGAGCATCTGAAAATGGAATTATAAGAATATCGTTAGGGTGTCCATTTTTTTATAACGAGAAAACGTCAGTAATCGCGATAATTTAAAAACTCAACTTTTTAACACAATACACGCCATAACTTAAGAACTTAAGAAGCACTTTAGATATTAAAACTTTTTTTATTTTATTTTGAAAATCGTGTCTTTTACAATATGTTTAAATAAGAAAAATTCGATAAGGTTGTTTTTTTCCATTCAAAAATTTTAAACAACCCATCCATTTACTTTTAGTGCATAGCAATTTTCAGCAATTGTGTAACTTTATTATTTATAAAGATTTTCACATACTGTCTGCGAAGAAAACATAGCAGACATATTAAGAAAGTTTTTGAAAAAACTACAATCAATTATTTCTAATAGATCTCGAGATATCAATTTTTAAAATTAGAGTTCTAATAGCGCGACCACTGTCGAACACCAACTCCACTTATTTTTACCAAAAATGCAAGTGTTTCGAACTTGCACTTAAAAATCTTCAAGCAATAGGGAAAATTACAGCGACTCGTTAATAAATAAACAAATAAAGTATCAAGAGACATAATGAAATCGTGAAGCTGAACGAACGCATGATGACACCTCTCCCTACAACGACAGAGGTACTGATTGGGTCGACCGGTCGACTGCGACAAATCTGCTATATCCCCCCTTCCTATAATTAATGTTCATTTTTGACAAGTTTTATGTCAGTTTTTAATAAATGACATCTAGATATTGACCTCGCCAAAATTATTATCGATTGTCATTACTCAGCCGTCTTTGACGCCGTTTTTATTCGATCATAAGGTATAATTTAGAAAAAATATTAAAAATAATACACTTTTGGTATTTTTGTGTCGCATATTCAACGGGGACGTGCATATGGGTTATCACTGGAATATTTTTTTTTAAAAAAGTATGTACGCCACTGATTTTGTGATTGCACATGATTTTTGAAACACCCTGTATAAGGTCTTTTCATTGATATTATTTATTTTATTTTGTGCAGAAATCCCAGTTTAGAGAGAAATTTCATTTCTTTATATGTATTTTTCTAACCAACAATGCCCACCCTAAATTTAGTAAAAAAATTAAATATCACTATAAAATTTACTATGTATACTTATAGTTGTACTAATTTTACATAAATAATTTCTTCTAAATTTATTTGTGTGAATGAAATGACATATAATGGTTAGCTCCAAAGAAATCCTCATTTATAAGCATTTCAAAGGCCACTGCGACGCCTTTTTTCTTGATTGTATGTATGGTACCTAAAGAAACTATAAAATACTCACCTGCTGGTACAGGAATTGTAATTGTCTTTCTTTGCACAGTGGAACCTTTGCCTTCACACTCTACACACTTATGCTTAATATACATTCTAGTTCCTTGGCAATATCTACAGGTAGACCTCATTATAAACGGACCAGTTGTGATACTTTCCATGCCAGTTCCTGTTAATAAAAAATAAGTAGATTATTAAAAATTTTAAAAACAAATATATTTAGAATATTTACCATTACAAAAAGTACATTTTGTAGCCTTTGTACCAAGCTCACATCGACTTCCTTTACATTTTGGACAAGTATCAACAACGTTTATAGTAACATCCTTATTAGTTCCCCTTGCGGCTTGACTAAAGCTTACTCTAAGAACTACCTACAATTCAGAGAAAAATAAAGTAGTTATACATATATATGTATATAATAAACTAATAGCTATGTATATAATCTGTATTAATATTACATAAATAACCATAAGATTTTCTATTCCTATATCATAAAAAGAATATACTCTTAATATTAATAAGTGAGTTACCTCTTGTGCTTCTCCAAAACCAAAACTGCTATCGGCAAAATCCTCAAAGGAAGAACCCTTTCCAAAACCACCAGTACCAAATATCTTTCTAAAAAGTTCTTCAGGATCTATAGTTGACTGATACTGCCAATGCTGACTACAAGTTTAAAAACTTCAATATTAATTATTATTTAAAAAAATTATATTATTTTTCTTGCCTAAATCCTTGAGGTCCATGCGCTTGACCAGTACTCTCTCCCCTACCGCCCATTCCACCCATCTGATCCGATGTAGCACCCCAAGTATCATATTGTTTTCGTTTACCATCGTCAGCTAAAATCTGAAAACATAAAATTTAACAGATAAAAACATGGATAAAAATGACTTGTTTTAGTAATAGCACCTCATATGCTTCTGAAGCTTCTTGGAACTTCTTCTGAGCTTCAGGATCGTTCTTGTTTACATCTGGATGGTACTTTTTAGCTAATTTGTAGTAAGCTTTCTTTATTTCGGCAGGAGAGGCGTTGCGTCCAACACCTAATATTTCATAATAATCTCTCCTGGTATTTAGCAACGCCGAATTTGTACGAAAAGATCTAGAAAAATCTAAAACAAGCACAATCTTATAGCATTTAAGTAGATCATTAACGACTAGTAAAATCTAATTTATTTGAGGTTATGTTCGATTATCTTTAAATTATATTTGACCTACAACTCAGGTAGTTGTATAGGGGACCAGTAGAAGCCCTAAGTAAAGAACAGACACAAATTTTGAACTCTGCCAGTGTGAAATAACAACAATGATGTAATTACTTACCCTTTTGAGAAGGCTTGTTCAAATCAAATGTAAGTGTACTGACATTACAATTCAGACACTTGTGGAGATATCTAATGTTTTTAGAGGCTTGTGGGGCTACGAATACGCAAATCTGTCGAGTACTTAATATACCGAAAAGGCTCCGGCAGTTCGCCATATCCCTTTAAAAAATTTGTTGACAGAAAAGAAAGATTGAAAAATCAAAGGTTAACTTCACAACTTCACTTCGCCATTTGTCAATAATGTCAACATTAGCGACATCTTGTTCAAAATTTTAGAATTAGTATGATATCATTTCATTTTCTCTCTTTTTATTTTTTTTGAATTTATTTTCTTTCTTGATTATATGAGGTAATAACAACGGATATTATGGACATATTTCCAAATTAATATACAACAGCTATTATTTCATTTAATATTAATGAAATTGTAGCCGTGCGTTTTATAAATTTTGGGAGTTAGAAAGAGAGAGATATATTTCGATTTGCAGTGTTTTCAAAATATGTCATATATGTGTCATTCTCATTGTTTTCTTGTCAATGTCGGTAAATCGGAGGGTGGAAGTTATTTGGGCGTTTTTTAAAAATATTTAATTTAAATGCACGAATTTTTATGTTACATGCACAACAGTTAGTTTTGTATATTAAATTAGAAGTCTGATCTAAGCAGAGTAAGTACCTAAGCAATAAAGAGACTGTTTTAATTGAGAATAAAAATCCATTGCTTTTGTAAGGGTGTGAAACCCTCTTTCCGGTCTTTGTATGTAGTCAAATAAGCATATTTGTAGTTAAGCACCATTTTATTTATAATTAAGAATACTTGAATACAATCACCCACCTATTTGACTACCTGCAAAGGCAATTTCTTTGTAATTACAGTTAGACTTTTTTTGTTGTATATTATAAAGAGATTAAATTTGTTGAGGTCAAATCACTTGTTTGTCTCTGAAACTATTATAAAGTCTCTCTAGCGTTGCAATTGTATTGTTTTTTTTTATAAGCATTACTGTTTTTAGACCAAACTGACTAAATAACAAAATGGCTTGGCGATTCAAAGCTTCTAAATATAAAAATGCTGCACCTATTGTCCCCAAACCTGAAACATATGTTAGGGACATTACTGTAGGTTCATATCAGACCTATGGCAATAACATTGCAGCTTCTGCCAAGTTTATGGCCTTCAATTGGGACCATGCTGGTTCTAGCTTAGCAGTTTTACCTATTGGTATGAAGTATTTCACGCATGATAGACTTCTGTTATTGATATTTTCTGTATTTTTAGATGATTGTGGGAGAAAAAGCAAACTTATGCCTCTTTTACATGCTCATTCAGATACAGTGACAGATCTTGATTTCTCACCTTTTCACGATGGTCTTTTAGCAACAGGATCTCAGGATTGTTTAGTGAAGATATGGTGCATCCCTCCTGAAGGATTGACTGTAAGTTTTAAATCATTACTATCTTGATTGTGAATTTTGATTAGGATCAAATGGTGTAAAAATGAGATATTTTTTTTTAACTTTTTGCTCTTTTATGGGGTGTCGCAATTTTTACATCACGTGGCTCTAGTTTTTTTTTAATTTATAAATATATTTTTATAGGAATCTTTAAGCAATGCAGAATGTGTTTTCTCTCATAAACAAAGGCGTGTTGAAACTGTAGGCTTCCATCCAACTGCAGATTTCCTGTTACATTCTACATCATATACTACCTTAACTCTATGGGATTTGATATCTGAAAAAGAACTCTTTTCTAATAGCGATCACGACGAAGTTATACAAAGTGTTAGTTGGAAAAGGGATGGAACATTATTAGCTACTTCATGCAAGGATAAATTGGTAAGTAATCTTGATAAAACAGAAGTTGTAAGTTAAAATTTACATAAATTTAGGTAAGAATTATCGATCCAAGATCAGAAAATCCTTGTGTAATGCAAGCAAACAGTCATCAGAGTATTAAAGACTCTAGAGTTGTATGGCTAGGAGACCAGGATAAAATTTTAACCACTGGATTTGATGCACAAAGGCTTAGACAAGTTATAATTAGGTAAAAATCAAAAATAAAAATAATTTTTAAATAATGCCCTTATTTTTTTTAAAGGGATTTAAGAAATTTTAAAGAAACTGAGAAAACATTGGAACTAGATTGCTCTACGGGCATTTTAATACCTTTATATGACCCAGATACTGGAATGTTGTTTTTGGCTGGCAAAGGTAATGAACACTAACCAAAAAATCCATAGAAAACAATAAAAATATAATTTTTGTTTTAGGTGACACGACTATTGGTTATATGGAAGTGTCGGATCGAGAACCTTACCTTATTGAAGGTATCAGACATTCCGGAGAACAAACAAAAGGAGTTTGCTTGATTCCCAAACGAGCCTTGAATGTCATGCAAGGTGAGGTAAACAGGATCATGCAGCTGACAAGTAGTTCTGTTATACCTGTAACCTATCAGGTACCAAGAAAAACTTACAGGTACAATGTTATTAATGTACTATTAATAAATTATGTGTTTTAATTTTTATTTCTTATTTTAGAGATTTTCATGCGGATATTTTTCCGGATACTCCAGGTTACAAGACTGATTTGACAGCGGACCAATGGATTCAAGGTGTCAATAAGGCGGTGCCTAAATTTAGCTTGGATCCTGCCAAGAGAGAAAAGGGGGAGGAACCTATAGTGGTAAGTTATTCATACAGTCATTTATATTATTATTTTTATTGTTAAATAATTTATTAAAAAAATGTACACCTATCACCTTATCGGTTTTACGTCACATGTCAAACCTGTCACTTGTCAAATCGGTCTTACGTCATCTGTCATACGATTTTTTTTTCTTTTTCTTTAAATTTGACAAAAGATTTTAAAAATAATTTTATATGCTACAGCATACTTTACCTATAGGCTTGGTGCATTCTCCGCCGGTGCTGCCACCATGCATCGGAGAATATCGTAAACAATCGGTATCTGCAAATACACGGATTTAAATAGCGATTATACGAAAAAAACTTTATATAATTATTCTAAAAGTGGTAGGAAACATAATTTGTGAAAATTATAAAAATAAAATAAAAAAGTTAATATTTTGATATTTTGGAAGGTCTAACTTGTATTATAATTTATTATTGAAGCTAATAAAACTAACTAAACCTAACACAATCCCATTGGTCAGATTTGAATTTTAAACCAATTAAACTCCGAGTGTCATACGCGAGTATGGAATGTAAGACAGTGCCATTATGCACTTACGGAATGTACTTGGTAATTATGCTTGCAGCAGAAAGTAACCCCTGGCTATAGCTAATCTTGCAAGAGTAGCTGTGGCTCCGTCACTGAGGCCATCGCTTCGTGAACGAGAGGTGCGTGGTTCAAATCTCACGCTGGACCATAACTTTTTTATTTTTTTTACAACTGTTTTTATTTTTTAAAAAAAGCTGTAAATATTTAATAGCATTCAAAATATGGATTGCGTTGGTTTCACTCTTTTTGGTGGGGTTAGATTGATTATTTGGTGGAGTTAGTTGCGTTGGTTAAGATGGTTATTTGGTGGGGTTGATTGCGTCGGTTAGGTTAGCTATTTGGTGGGGTTGATTTGGTTTTGGTTGAAATGTTCTATAACAAAGCGTTAATAGTAATGTCTAAGGTACATTCCGTAAGTGCATATGGCACTGTCTTCTTACATTCCATACTCGCGTATGACACTCGGAGTTTAATTGGTTTAAAATTCAAATCTGACCAATGGGATTGTTAGATGCCGTATATATGTACGGAATGTATAAATGCCTACGGTAGCGAGCATAGTTTTACGCACAGGTTTTGCTAGTGGCGACATAACTTGGGCTATTTCGGCTATAACGAAATTTTTTGAAGGTACATAGTTGTAATTTTAGAAGTTATTCATAAAAAATGTAAGCACTAGTTGATTAAAAAAGAGTATATCATTAATATTGCAAATTACATTTTATCCCCTAATAGTATATATGTCTATTTAATTTTTCGATTATGTAATGGGGACCTTGTTTACTCACTTGTATCGTCGAAATGCTTGAATCCATTTTTGCTCTTCATCAAATCGGTGTGAGAAACTGTGAAGCTATAAAATGTTGATTCGGGAGAGTTGAATATCCGGAAGAGTTGAGTTATTGTGTTATTGAATGTTATTGCACCAAACAACCACGTAATTACGCCCTCCTTTACACGTTAATATTTTTTCGCCAATTTTATTAACGTTTGAAATTGTCAGAACACAACGCGACGCCTAGTTTGAGTTCTTTTTCACTTAATTTTTACTACCCGAATCAGCGTTACATCACACAAACCTCGTTTTATAGTTCCAATAACTGCACTAACAAAAAACTAAAATACTTAAATATTATGACAAAGCAACGATTTCAATATAATTTTAATGCGATCAACATGAGCTGTAACCGGGACGGCGCCGGCGCGGCGTGAAATACATAATTCTGATTTCTGCCATATAGAGCGCTGCGGTCGAAATCTTTTGAAATCAACTGAAATGCACCAAGCCTATACAGAAGCTACAGTAAGCGTCGGCGTCGGTTCCTTAGAAGTAAAGTGACCAAACGTCCGTCATGACGGACAATAAGTTATGGCCGTCTCCAAAATTTGTCCAATTGTTCAAAATTGTTAAATGGTTCCTCATTCATTATTGTCCGTCAATCATTGGATTGAATCAGTTCAAAATTAAGATATAAAATGGAAGTTTTTGAGAATTTAAAAAATAGGATAGGAATATAGTTACAATAAAAATTGATATAGTCTGTCCAACCACAAGATCCTTGACAGTGATAGATGTGTCTGTCATTTTAATTTCAAAGTAGTTTATTTTATTTTACAAAGAAATAAGTTGGTACAATTCGAACGCACAACAGGAAATTAATATATTTAAAATTTGAGTGACAGGTGATTACTTCAAATCTAATTGATTTATTTTATTAAAAAAGCGGTAGGTGTTAATACAAAACAAACAAGAACAAAACACAACATATATATAACACATAAAGTATAAAAAAAATTATTTCTTACTTTCAAGCTTCAAGAAACTTCCCGCATTATATTATGTTTATCAATATAACTTACGCACAAAAACACATTTGTAATATTTCACAGGAATAAATAAAACTACATAAATAAAACAAAACATTTTAATAATAATAACACTTACCGAATTGTATACCTTAAAGCTTCATTCAGAACCTACCAATTAGTGGTACTTTTTAGTTTACGATCATTCACATGTCCAAAAAAACACAATTAAAATTAATAAAATATCCTAGCAACAGCTTGCGGTAGTTTGTTGTATCCATAGAGAAAGCATAATATTTAGCTTATAAAACAATAAACTTTTGATTTCTAACTAAAATTTTTCTTGCCGGGTGATAATCAAAAGCCAAAATGACATTCCTCGTAAATTTTGAAGTATAATTAGTGGAAAAGTTAAAAGTTTGTTAACTTTTTCCAATAATTGGAAATTACTACCACTAATTATGACGTTCTGAATGCTTACATTAAAATTAGGTGAACAAACTTCTACGGCTAATTGAAACTACTAATTTATTCCACTGATTTCGAGGTTTTGAATGAAGCTTAAAGTTTGATTAATTAACTTTAATCTTAATTTTTTCAAACCAGTACCTTTTGACATTATTTTTCTGCAGTACTAAAATCCATTATTTACCTATCGAGAGATGTCGTTATTTTACGGCTACTCCAGTTTTTAATATATTATAGTACGAGAGCTAGCAACGTCGGAAAAACAAGTATTTTAAGACGCCTGGCTCTTTGATATATCTTTTACTATGCTCTCTAGAACAGCATGCAGCCCGTCTGGCTGCCGGTAAACGTTGCGTTCTCTACTGCGCATTGAAAGAAGATCCTATATTTTTATTACTCCTTTAAATTCTAGTATTGAATATAAATCGAACGTGTCTCCATAGCGCAGTGCGTAAAGTTTCCAACCACGAACCGATGATTCAGAGTTCGAATCCGGGTCAGCGCAAAGACTTTTGGTTTAGAGAAAAAAAAAAAGAGTATATTATAATTATATTTCTGCATACTTAAATGAAAAGATTCTTTTTCCAGCATTGTATAAATTTCTGATCCATTGGCTGATTTTTTTTGACATGTGTGTCAACATTACAAGATATAAACACAAAGATACTTCTATGATGTTATTTTTTTTAATATCATTAACTTATCATCGACCGTAGATCATTGTGTATATTTATTTTTACAAATGACAGGTTCACAGAGGCAATATTGCCCAACTTCGGGAAGAGTTTGAAAAATCTAAAGCCAACAGAAAACCGGCGGAGTCTAAGCCAAAAATTATTGAGACATCTGTCAAACCTGAGATCCATCCGGTAAGAAGCATAGTGAAAGAGCTGGAAAAGGACAAGGAAAACGTTCCAGAGAAAAGTCCTAAGAAAAATGTGGATGAAATTGATAAGAAAATCAGTGAAGTTAAGGCTGCTACTGAGGAAGAAGATAAAGAAAAGGTTAGAATATGATTAGATATACAGGGTGTCCCAGGCTGAGCGTGCATTAGAAGTTTCTAGAGAACTATAAGATCTAGATCGAATATTTTTTGCACATTATTGTTTCACAAAGAGATCTATTGATTAAAAATATTTTCAATATGGCGGCACTTCTGGAAATACCGGAATTGACAGCAACTTTTTATTGACAGCAATTTCTTATTTCATAGTTAAATTCTCTGTAGAATTTTATGAATTTTGTTATTAAACACCTTATATAGTCTATAAAATGAATAACTTTGAATTTTGACCCTTATTTTTTACCAACATGGCAAATATAAAATCCCTCTATCAAAAAAGTTACTGATATTCTTTAAATTGAATGCCTGAACGAATCAGATAGGTAACTCTTTTTACTTTCGTGAAATAGAAAAGGAAAATAATAAAACAAGTGACAGTTCTTCCTCTTCTTGCAAAAATCAACACAATTGTCAAAAGTAAAATGTCATCAGCTTTTGACATTTCTAAATATCAGACCAATGCCGTCTCTAATAGAACAGCCTCGGAGCGAGATTTATGACGTCACACTAGTTAGATACTACGGATTAATAAATATGTTGTAGAATACATGTAAAACATAATAATTCCTCGTATTTTTGGTTTGTATATTAAAAATGATATAGTTTACATGAAATATACATAATATACAGTTAATAAATACAATATATATATATATATATATATATATATATATATATATATATATATATATATATATATATATACCTATTTATAGTAATAAATACTTTGGCAAATAAACTATGAACCATAGGTACAAATGCAGCAAATGTTTTACAATATACAAATAATGAATAGGTACATAAGATAATGGGTAAAATGTAAAATATATTTTAAATTTTGGGGTTTGGAAATCGATCTAATTTAACAAGAAACATTCAATATCTACTAATAGTGAAGTATTATTATTTGCATTCACAAATGTATATTCTGCAAGTATCAATGTTCGAAAAAATTATATTTGCAAATAATACAATATCATAGAAAAAAAAAGGCGTCAGAGATAGCTATGAAATAAAGATTGCTGTCATTTTATATGTAAAATTATTGTAAAATTTTTGATTTTCTTGGGATTTAGGTTCGGGAAAAACGCTGATTAAGTTTTCATTTGTTTTTCATTATTTCTTTTTTAGTTAAAAAAAACGTTTTGGCTAACATCATAGCCTTCATCAGTGTTGTGTCATATGAAAAAAATAGTGTCGAATATAATCCAAAAATTACATATAAAATATTCACACCACACACCACATATTGTTTACTTCAATTAATAAACTAATATAAACTTGTTAAAAGATGACCACGTATTTTTTTAAATTATTATTCTTAACACTAAAACTATCTACATTGACTATGGAGTACGATTTCAGCCATAGTAAGTAGTAGATATTGAATGTTATTTGTTAAATTAGATCGATTTTCAAAACCCAAAATTTAAAATATATTTTACATTTTACCCATTATCTTATGTACCTATTCATTATTTGTATATTGTAAAACATTTGGTGCATTTGTATGGTTCATAGTTTATTTGCGAAAGTTTTATTACTATAAATAAGTAGGTATACATATATATCGTATTTTTTAACTGTATATTATGTATATTTTATGTAAACTATATCATAAAATACAAACCAAAAATACTTGGAATTATTATATTTTCCATGTATTCTGCAACATATTTATTAATCCGTAGTATTTAACTAGCGTGACGTCATGAACCTCGCTCCGAGGCTGTTCTATTAGAGATGGCATTGCGTCAGCATGGCCACAAGTTGCTAACCTAATAAAATTAACACTAGAAAAGCCCGCGGGAACTGCCAAATTCAAAGTTATTCGTTTCACAGACTATACCTAATATTAACTGTTTTTGAGAAAAACAATATTTAAAATTTTTGGAGGAAAAAAACTGCCTGTCAAAAAAATCGGTATTATAGTCTAAACGACAAATTTAGTGATTACCACAGCCACTGTAGCATAAAGTGAAAACATGTGGCTATCTATTTCAAAATTTAAATTGTTTGAATGTCATACAGTATTGACCTTAGCGATCATGGAATTGAGCGATTAAAAAAATATCATAAATAATTTTTTTCAAATGGAAACCCACTTTTTTATTTCACCAGTGAAAAGGTTTTTTAATTCGTTAATTTTTGATTATACTTGTTCCTATATCTAAAATAAATCGTTTTTAAGTTATTTAAAATTTAATTTCAAAGGGTATATATTTTTTTTCACCAGTAACTTATGACTTTAAACGTCACGCCATGTAAAAACTATATCTGACCATGTCATATTTCCATTAGCTATCATTAAAATACAAGATATATTTTTATAAATACATTTTATAAAATTTTACCAGCAGTATTTATAATGAAAAATAAATTTCTTGCAGTTTTTAGGTATATAATAAAATTATATAAGAGTTTCTTGCCTTGAACTGCTAATATAGAAATTAATTCCACGCTGTGTTCGACATAATATGGATCAACCTGCTCTCACTACCGGTTTCGGGGCCCTAAACCATCATCAGGTGAGCTTGGGTCGTTTCCACAAAATGTCGAGCACATCGCAGAGTATATAAATACGACTTGTCGTAAAGTAGCGGTAAGATATTAAGTCCCGCATCGCGAGATAGCGTGGAATTAATTTCTATATTAGCAGTTCAAGGCAAGAAACTCTTATATAGTATTTATAATATACGAAATTCACATAGTTTTTTGACAGAAGTCTGATGGTTTGACACTTGTCAAATACATGTCAAAGAAAGCTAGATAAAATCAAGAAAAAAATACGATTTAAAACGGATGTACTTAAACAGCCGTTAAACGGTAGCCTACTAAAAATGCCGTTAATAGATATTGTGACGTCGTTCATGTCAGCGGAAAGTAATGCCTAGCCTTAAGCATTCTGCAAGAGCACCTGTGGGTCAGTGGCTGAGGCTATCGCTTCGTAAGCGGATGGTCCGGGGTTCAAATCTCACGCCGACCAAAACTTTTTTATATTTTTTTTTGCTTATAGCGTGATCTTATTGCATTGGTTTCACTCTTTTTGGTTGGATTGGTTTAGTTATTCGGCGGGTTGGTTAGCGTGGTTATTTGGAGGGTGTTAATTCATTGGTTAGTTGGTTATTTGGTGTGGTTGGTTGATTTTTACTAATTTAAATTTGTTTTTTATATTTTTTATCAGTGTCAAGGTTAGTTGCGTTGGTTAAGTTGGTTATTTGGTGGGGTGGGTAGCGTTGGTTAGTCCTTATAAAATTCCTGTATTTCATAAAGCCGTCAAGTGCGTCACATCAACGACGTCATACCTATTAACGGCATTTTAGTAAGTTACCGTTTAACGGCAGTTTAAGTACAGCCATTTAAAACTAAATCTTAAATAACTTTAAAACGATTTATTTTAGGTATAGGAACATGTATAGTTAAAAAGTAACGAATTGAAAAGCCTTTTCATTAGTGAAATAAAAAAAGTGGGTTCCCAATTGAAAAAAATTATTTATGATAATTCTTTTAGTCACTCAATTCTTAAATTTTGAAATAGAATAGCCACATGTCTTCTTTTTAGGCCACAGTGGCTGTGGTAATCATTCAATTTGTCGTTTAGGCCATACCGATTTTTTTGACAGGCACTTTTTTCATCCAAAATTTTTTAATTTTTTTTCTCAAGAACGGCTAATGTTAGGTATAGAGTGTTTGATATCAAAATTCATAACATTTTTCAGAGAATTTAAGGATGCAATAAAAAATGGGGGTACCCATTTGAAATAAGAAAGTTGCTGTCAACTTCCGGTATTTCCGAATTATTCCGCCATTTTGGAAATATTTTTAATCAATAGATCTCGTTGTGAAACAGTGATGTGCAAAAAATCTCCGATCTGGATATTGTAGTTCTCTAGAAACTTCTAATGCACGCTCAGCCTGGGACACCCTGTATATTTTATTTAAAAGTTAGTATATGTAATTGCAATTCTTCCTAGAGTGTTTATAGATCATAGGCAATAAATAACACAGAAAGTGGTCCAAATTGTAATCAGGAAACTTCGAAAACACATTCTGCATATGAAAATAAGTAAAAAAAAATTATACACATTTATGTCTATAATCAATAATTGTCTACAAAAACTGTATAACGCTTTCTAGGGTTTAATACATTAACAAACGTACAAATTTATTTTTGAACCAAAAAAAAACATAACCTCCTTTCTTAAGGCCCCTGCACAGACCATAGTCCCTCCCAAACCCCTGCCGAGAACTTCGCGCACTAGTTCCGTCTGTGAGTCGACTGAAGAAGCCTCCAGCGCCCCCAAACCGGTGGCCAGACCTCGAACTAATAGTTGCGTTCCCATTGTGACGTCTGTGAATCCCAACGGCCCTATCGGTGGTTATAAGGTTAACAAGACGTTGTTTTTTTGTTTTTTTTTTGTTTTCGTGTGATTTGCCACTTTTTTGCCATATTTTTAGATAGTAAGTTTGTTTTGAGTGTCTTTTATTTCAGCTTTACTGTAGTTAATTGTAGATACAATGAAGAATCAGTTACTTAGTTTTATATTATTTAAGCTTTGTTTATATTCATTTTTTGGTGACTCAATGTTGCCCAGTGTTTGGTTCTGTATTTTTTTTATATATTTTGTTGCTGAATAATAACTGAAATGTGGCAGTTAATAATTTTATTCATATTTTCTTTTGCAGCCTCGTCTTGGTCCCAAGCCGTTTACTCCTCCAAACTTAAATGATACTGAAAATACGTTTAGTAAAGTATTCTGTGTCCCACCTGTTCCAGGACAGGCAGCGTCCAATGGTGTCACTGGGAATACAAGGTAGGATCACGTGTAAAAATAGTTAAGATATGAAAATTTAAAAAAATATTTTATTCCAATATACATAATCTTATAACTTTATTAAAACATTGTGCTTGCAATGCTCTATTAGTTGACCCACTGCAATCTGCAATTAAGATGGCGCTGCTGTAGCTAAAGTTCTATATTTGAAAGAAAGCGTCAAGCAATATTAAAACCGGAAATAATTAAAAGGATATACAGGGTTGTTCACCACAAACGACACGGAGTATCGTAGCTAAACGATTAAATTTTTACAAATTGTAAGTTTTGGGTTCGTTGAAGGACTATTAGCCTACAATTTAAAAATATTTTTACAAGATACAGAGTGTCCCAAATAAATAAAAAATGTCAAAGTTCTATTTTTCTAAATGGAACACTCTGTATATGTTTACATTTTTAGTTTTTACGATTAAAATAAAGGTAAATTTGATTAAGGTTTATAACACTTAAACCTTACCGTTTTTGAAATATTTTCAATTTTGTGAAATTGCAGTAAAATTTTAGGGCTTTATTTCTCCAACGGTATCAAAGTTTTTAATACTAAATATTTTCTGAAGTTTATTTATTGAGTAATTATTGTGTTGCAATAATAAAATAGTACTACCTCATACAGAGTGTCTAAAAATTTATTTTAAATAAATTTTTGCTTTAAACGGCAATAACTTCTTTAATTTAAATGGAACACGCTATATATTTTAGGAGATTTTATCCCTTCAAGTTTTCATAGAAAATGCATTTTCATATAATTTAGACCTCATAAAGATCGCGACGCGGCGGCTGAACAAATCTTTTAAAAAACCCTTACGTGTATGAGCGGTTATTCTTGGAGCGTATGTAAACCTTGATATCGTCCTATTGCTGCCAAAAGTCACTAACTAACATTTTTCCGAACAACCAAATTCAATCACTAACTATGTTTTGAAGCGGAGAATCGATTGCAAAATGTACAGGAGAAAATTGTATGGGAGGGGTTAAAAATTTAAAAAAATCGTAACTCCAAAATTACAGTAGCTAGCGAAACGCGGTTTTCAATTTAAGATTAGGAATAATATTTGCAACAAAATTTCTAATAACATCAAAATCAGTCAAAGTCGCAGTTTTTGAGATATTCCGTGTTTCCGTAGTCCGTTTTTGAGAAAATCCGTGTGGAGAACTCCAAACTTCCATCGGACGCGACCCCCGGTGGCGGATAGGGGAAATAACGACGGACCTTATTAACATATTTTAGTATGGGCGGCTATACGTGCCTCCCGGCGCCAATTTTTTACTATGTTTTTGCAATTTATTCTAAAGTACACTTGTTATGTTGTCCAAATTAGTGAAGCTGTGGTTACGCCTGAACAAGAAAAAGAAAAATCGCCAACAAGTGACACTGAACCCACGCCACTGAAACAGGACAATGAAAACAGCAAATCCGGATCTAGTGGCGAAGAGGAGACATCTTGCGATTCAGGTATGATATACATCAGTAATATAATGTTTTGAGTTTGAAAAATAGTTATTTGAGTTTCTTGTACTGAGTGATATTTGAGTAGTATTTTAAATCATTTTTAAAACAAAAATCTGCTTTATGTCATTTTATTCTAATTTGAAACGTATATTTAAACTATGTGGTGCCCGGTGGCGTAGAGCGGTACAGCCATAAAATAATTAACTAGAAAGAAGTGTCAACTCTGTGTTAAATCGTGGAAACACGATACGCCACCGAAAGCCTTCGTTGTCGTCTGGAGAACTAATTTTCCAATTGACAGGTTGACATGGTAAGGACATGATGGCTAAATTTTCATTTCCGTTTCCGGTTATTCAATGGCTTTCAGTTCAAATGTATTTTGTATTTTTCTTTTCATAAATAAAACCAAAAAATAATTTATTCGCATATATTTATTTGAAATATGGAACAACGTGACTAAATAAATATAAAAATATAGAGGATTGTTTTGTTTTAATACCAATTAGTTAATTATATGCACTTTTAACGTAAATTAGTTAAGGTATAAGCATGACTTACAGTAATTTGTAAATATACACACGTATTCGCAGACTTCAAGGACAGAAAACGGACACAGGAACATGAAAAGGGGAGCCTTATACAAAAACCTGAAAACAGAAAAACAATTTTTTTTATACTAAAATTAACAATGTAAAAATATCAATAGGTATAAAATATAAATATACTGTTTAAAAAAAGCGTCCATTATTCCCAAAGAGACCTGGCTTATAAATCAAAAAGAAGCAAAAAGAGAATTTTAGTCGGATAACATAATCAGATTATCAGTCCGATTTATTGCATTATTGACAATAAATCGCACTTACTGGAGATAACTTATGTTGGCTATAGTTAAAAATGATCTTACCTTGCTGTAAATTGTTTCCATTTTCAAAAAAATCGCCGATCAAAGAGATTATAACACCATTTTCTTGCATCTAAAAAATGTAAAAACAGTGTTTATTTACTACCTATTTTTCATATACATGGGACATACCTACTACTGCAGAAACGTCATTTTCTCAGGATTCTTCATGTAATATATATTTTATATACTTTATTACCTTTATATTTATAAATTTCAGCCAAAATATTAAATTGAACTTCCAAAACGAAACTAAACGGAATGAATTAAAATGGCGTCGAATATTTTCTAATTTGTTCTAGAACAAATCTGAAGTTGTCTCTGAAACTGAAATCTGTCAATTCTAACTGTGAAGTTAGACAATAGTTAGACAAAAACAATGCTGTCCTTGTCTAGGCGGCCATACTTGTCGTGAGGAGAATGACAGGAATGACACTAATGACAGTTTCCAATTTTCCTATTTCACTGTCACCCCCCTGGGTACAGCTCTCGTCTACCAATTCAAAGGTTGTGGGTTCGAATCCTACAGCCGGCTATTTTTAATAAAATAAAAATAGTTTGGGTACCTAAGTCGACTCAGCCTTAAATGAGTACTTGGGATTCACAATCCTGAGGTAATAATAGGCGGTTGAAGCCTAATGCTAGACACATTACCTTCATTGTATACCGAACGGCTCTAGTATGGCAAGCTGTACCTTGCTACTCCCAAAGCGTGAAAATCTATATACGGGAGCTATTATTATTATTATTATTATATTTGTAATGGATAAAATGTCTTGGTCAAAAATTTTGGTATTCAAAAATCCACTCTAAGTTGGCTCACACGTAGATAACGATAGGTTACGTTAATTTAACGTTAATTTTGTTCAGAAATGTTAATCAAATGAATATATTGTATCAGCTTTTCTTGTTGCACCACCAAAGGGTGTGTATATGTTTGAGAGAGAGAGAGAGAGAGAGACAGACTATGTAATATATAGCTTATGCGCAGAGAAATAAATGTATTTCTGGTTTGCAAACTGTTTTAGGAATGAATGTAATTGTCAACAAATATTGTCCTGGTATAGGTATATAAATTGTATTATGTGTAGGTTATATTCCGAAAACACCCAGTACAGCGGAAAGAAGAAAACTATTTGAAACCCGTACAAGTTCGAAAGAAAATGAACCTGAGGACAATTTCGATGCTGTCGATCAAAGTGGGAATTTTGAAAGGAATTCGTTACAAAGGAACAGCATTGCAGAAAGACGAAAACTTTATGAAAGGTTTGGTTCAGAATTTTGGAATTTTATATACTTGTAGGAACTCACTTATTTATTTTCAATCGTTCTAGATCGCAATCTGTTCAAGATCAACCCACAACAATTACAGAGAAAAGCACTTCTTCGCCTATAATGCTGAGAAGAAAAGATTCTTTTAAAAACCAAAAGAACGATGAAGCTCTAAAGGAAGATAACAGGTAAAATAAGGACGGTATTTCTGTTTTTTTTAAGTATGCCGCCGAACGGCACGGCGGCGGTTTTCTTTGTGTATTTAGCAACAACTGCCCTACTGGAAAAATCTACGTTGTTGTTCGGAGGCGGTATTCATGTTAATAAATATGTAAACGTCTAACGGCGCCGGCGGTCTTCTTTTCGTCATATACCGCCGGTTTTGTCTATATCGCCGGCGGTAAATTAGCCAGTTTGATACACTTTTTTTATTATTTTAGGAGAAGCGTACCTATGTCAAAACAACAGTCGTTAGATCCTCAGTCGCTGAAGAAAAACGAATCTGTGGCACCTAAAAGAACATCCACAGTTTTTGGTCAGTATTTTGTGGTTGGAGAGTACTATACTATTGAAAAATCACCTTTAAAATTACAATCTATGATATCGGGATCGACCCTACAGAAATTATCATAGATTGTCCTTTCATAGGCCACTATGACACCGTTTTTTTTTTCAAACTTACGTAATGTATCACTGATTGGTTATTTTCTTTTGTTAGGGCGAGTATCAAAGTTTAGGCACTTGAAAGGAACGACAGCTCATAAAAGTTTTCATATCGAAAATATTAGAAATCTGAGTAGACAGATTCCCGGTGAATGTGATGGTTTTCATGGTGAGATATTTTTATTAATTTTGGTTAAAATATTTTTAATGTTTTTTTTTAATATTATTTTAGCTAACCCTGAAAGAGTGGCAGTGCCTCTGAGTGGCCCAGGTGGCAAAATCGCGATATTTGAACTTGGCAAACCTGGTAAGTAAGACGGTTTTTTTTATAGTTTGTCCAAAGACAAAATCCTTGACAGTGATAGATGTGTCTCTCATTTTAATTTCAAACTAGTTCATTTTATTTTACAAAGAAATAAGTTGGTACAATTGAAATGCTAAACGGGAAATTAATATATTTAAGATTCTAGTGACAAATGATTACATCAAAATATGATGACAAAAAAACGTATAAAACGCAAAAGTCTAACTGAGTTATTTTATAAAAAAATAGTGTAGGTGTTAATAAAAAAAACAAATAGACCACATACAAAAATTTATAAAAAAGAACTATTTATTATTACTTTCAAATTTCAAGAAATTTCCTGCATTTATTATTATATCTAGCAATATAACTTATAAAAAATGTCTATACCTATGTGGCGGATTGATCTCTCCAAAAAATCCTATATGGGTATTTCGCCACTAAATAAAATAGTTATTTTTTGTAAACACTTCTGGCGTTAAACCCAAATGGAAACTACTTGTCAGAAGTTAGGTTTACAGTTATACAAATTTGCCTAACAAAGAAAAAAATGCTTGACGTTTCGGAAAGTTTATCTCTTTCCGTCGTCGGAAGCAAAAAAAATACAAATAAAGAAAAAATATTTTAAATAGTTTTTTTTTCTAATTAAAATATTAAAAGAAACTTTTTTTAACGAAATAAATGGTTTGGTATGGACGTCATCTGTCATCTCTGCCTTTTTTCCTGTTATCGTCTGTCTAAATCTTCCTTGAGTTTTTGTCAAAATGACTCCTATTCGTAGGGGGCGCCACCTACATGTGTTTTAACTGTTTTGAAGAGTAATAACTTTTTGTCCGTACCTGTATAAAACTACCGAGCGAAAAAGATATACATTTCCAACACGTTTTACATAAAAAATATCTCTTTGTAAAAATCGCTACGAGCAACCGTTCTCAAGATATTTACAGTGGAAATAGTCAATACATGTCATTATTGACTAAAAATAAACACGTTGAGCAGATTGTTATTTGACTAAAATGAGAAATTTGGGAACTTTTTATTTTTTTAAACTAATCATAAATTTTCTTCGAAAAAATGATGATAAAACAGTTTCTGTTTAACTTTTGGTTCAAAAACATTGCAAATTTATGATTTTAGCCGTAGCGATTTTTACCAAGAGACCTTTTTTACGTAAAAATCATCGTAAATGTATATTTATTAACTAGCTAGTTTTATACAGGTAAGGACAAACAATTATTACTCTTCAAACCGTAAAACAGAGTATATAACCACAAATTAGGTATACTATATGTATCATAGACTTAAAATAAAATATAGACTACACATTTACATCTGAACGCGGTCAAACAATCATTTTTGTACACATGTTTACTTCTGGGTACACTCGACCGCAGCCGACCAAACCTTTCTCGTCCAGCCTATGTTGTCACGTCTTTAATATTATCAATATTTTTTTGCTCATTATACACATATATTGAGATATTAATACTGCATTTTAATAAAGTAGATTTTAATATTCCATAGATGTATTAAATAGTCCTTATACTACTTAATTATAAGTCAAATACTATGTAAAAAGGATAAATCCTTTACAATATGGCAACACCGATTAGAGGCGAGGTCGCCTGTTCATTCTTCTATTAACTTGTAGTACGCGTCGCACGTGTGTAGTAAAGCATTGTTGCCGCTACTTCTCTGTGGTTGTATTATTGCATTTTCTTAGTTTGTAGTCCTTAAATGTTTATTTTATTTACTTTTTGTATTCAAGAACTATAAAATATGCTTCGCGAGTGACAAATTTGCAAGAAATTTGACTTAAATAATCCATTTGAGTCTTGAAACGACTTTCGACCGGTAGGCAACTCTCAATTTACCAATTGGGAGTCAGTGGCGTTGTTGTAGAAAGGCGCTTATTTATATAATATTTTAGTAAAATGTAAAATCTGAATTTTTTCTATTACATAATCATTTATATAAAAGTTTTTGTATACAAGATAAATTATATTAGGCATCGGTTAAAAAATTAATCATGTTTTTATTAAAAATATATTCCAGTTTATTCTAAAACTATCTTCAGAATCTAAAATAACGTACAAGAATTCTAAAATGACGTTACATTATGAAACATTATTTTTTAATATACTCTCTCAAAAGTGGCTCACCCCCTATGACTTTTTTATTTTTTCAGATAAAAAAAACAGATTTGTATGTTAGTATATGACATAAATTAATTACTTTTAATTATTATTAATAGAATGACATATCATATGTTAACTTTTGGCATTGTCGGTTAAAAACAAATCGTATTTTAAATTTCAATCCAGAGTGCCATGGCGGTTTAAAAACACTAAGTTTTAATCAAGGAGCCTTGGAAAAATAGTTTTGATCGTCTAAAGTTTTTCGTGTCTTGTCTAGGCCGGTTAAAAGATGTACAAATCGCGTATTTTTAATCATATGTCAATTTTTTCAAATGGAACAAGGATGACTCATTAGCATATTTCGAAAAAGTATTTTTTTATGAATATATTGATACTTGGTATTTCGAGTCCAATTGTCGTTATGAACTGCGTGTTACAATTTCAATTAAACCATATGAGAAAATGTCAAAAGTTGACATATGATATGTCATTCTATTCAGAGTGTTATATACCTAGGGTGCCATTTAAAAATCAGAAGTTATAGTCATTTCCGGTGAAACAGGAAGTGACCAAAAACAATTGAATGCGTCAATCAATCCTAATTTATGTCATATACTAACATACCAAATCTTGTTTTTTTACTTGAAAAAATAAAAAATTATGGGGGTGAGCCATTTTGGGGACGCAGCCGGTATAATAAAGACAGTATAGTAGAGTTAAATAAATGTAGTCTTTATTTAATCCACTTCCTAAAAGCTTGCTTTAATGGAACAGATTACTATTTTCTCTAATTTACATAATAAGACATCACTTACCAGAAAAAAAATTACAACAATCATGAAGTTTTTTCTTTCTCCATGTCGCCGATTCTATTATATCTATAGAATAGATCCTGATTTTATTTTTAGATAATGTTTGATTAAAATTAATGATTTATTATTAATTTCAAAAATTAAATACATAATTTCGATTATTAAATTTTTTTCTATAACATGTATTTTATTATTTTTATCGTTTTTGGACGTTTTTTTCTAAACTTTTATTTAAAAAACCTCTCCTAAATCTTAATAAAATATAAAAAAGTTAAATACGATATATTTTTAATTGAATTAAAACTTCATTTAAATTAAAAAAAATTACCCGGCTATGTTACGGAGATTTCAGGAGTACTGAGGAACGAAAGACAGTGTTGCATTCTTCGTCAGAGTCGTCAGGGAACGACCGTTACGGCGGAGACAACCTATCTATCGCTCGTGTCGCACTCGTTAGAGCCTAAAACAATAACACAACAATAACAAGACATTATCTGTCCGCATTTTCCAGCTATTTATGAATGAGATGCTCAGTCTATATTTTATTTTAAGTCTATGATATGTATATAATTAAAAATCTTGTCCCTAATTCGTGGTACGAAAATTGTTTTTTGTGACGATGAGCAGACAAGTAAAACCAAAAAGATAAACTCGCGTTTAAACGCGTAATAACTGACCCGGTCAGGAGCTGTGCACGATTTTGGAGGCCATAAGAGGGCGTGCTATGTGCACAAACTACTAACCTAACTAGTGCGCGACTCCGAAAATTGGAACCACGAAAAACAATGCTTTTGATGATAAGTTTATAATCTGTATAATCTGCAATATAACGTTGTTTTCCTTTCAGGTAAGCTGCCTGATGGTGTTATTCCCACACTGGTACACGGCAACTACATAATGGACTTCGCCTGGGATCCGTTTGACACCCACCGCTTGGCGGTAGCTGGCGACGATGGCGTCATCAAACTATGGAAGATACCGGAAAACGGTTTGGCCGAACCTACAAATGAACCGGAAGACCAATTTAACGCACATCCGGAGAAAATCTACTTTGTTAAGTTTCATCCGACAGCCAAAGATATTTTAGCATCAGGTAGGTCCAAAACATTGAATAAAAAAACTAAGGAAGGAGCCACATACTGTTTTTATATTCGTATATTGTACAGGTTGTTTCAAAAAACAGGTGCCATCTCTCGTGGGGAGATTCCTCACATAAAAATAAGATTTATTTTTCGTATCAACGATTCTGCTTTGTTTCGTAGCTACAGGGGGTTAAAGTTCTTTTTTTTTCTTGTTAGCATGATTGCCGATCTTAATTAGATAAACGCAATTTTTTATTATCAAAGTAACTTATTAGAGAACGTTTAGCAATTTTATTAATATCATTAAAATTAGACTACGATTTTACGGCGAAACAACTTCAACTACTTCAAATAATAAAGGCATTTTGAAAAAGCAATTAAAAGATATAAAAAAAAACGCTGACTATCAAAATGTTGATCTAATAACAATTTGACGTTTATATCTTCGATTTGAAAGAAGATATCAAGATGCGGTTTTCTCTGACTTTTTAAGCTTTTACTACTCTTTGCTCTTCTTCTTTATGTACCGTCTCCATATCGGAGGTTGGCTATCATCATTGCTATTTTGACCTTGGAAGCTGCGGCCCTAAATAGGTCAGATAACGTGACATTAACCCTTAACTGGTCCGGTAATAGATATGTATCATAAACGGTCCGGCGTAGTCTGTGGGACTACGCCTTCTAAAAAGTGAAAAAAAACACACAAAAACTAAAAAATAACAAATTTTTATTTTATTATATATGATATGTATTATTGAACTAATATAGACAAAAATGGGTTCAATTAATATAAACTTTAAGAAAATATAGTACAAAATAAAATAACATACATATAAATTTGAAAAAAAAATTAGATTTTTACTAAGCTCTAAAAAATAAAACCAAATTACTAACAGTCATTACAATATAGAAATATGTTTTTAGTACTATATATAAAAAAATAAGCTATAAAACTGAAATTAAAGAAAAGGTTTTTAGTTACAGCATATGGCAAAGTTCATTGTTTTCCTGAACATGTTTTACAAAATGAATTCGTACATTCTAGGCATTAAAAATAATTAAACTAGGACATAACATTGTCTTTAACTAGGATAAGAACTCTGGGATAAGAATATCTCCGTGGGAGTGTTCTGGTTGTACAGGAATTGCAAGTATTCTACCAATTGTAAAGTATATTTCTCTTGGAATATTTGACATGGTCAAACGCATTTGTCTGGCAGATTGTCATATTGTCACTGTCACAGTCCTCATCATATCATTTTAATAGAGTTTCTTCATAACTAGAGTCTCGTAAACGCACTCTTTTCGAAGGCCTGGCCATATTTTACAAAAGTTTATCAAACACAAAATCTTACGCAAACGGTCCGGCGTCGTCTGAGAGACTACAGCTTAAGTAACTTCTGCTAAAACTAATCCAGTTTGGGCATACATATGGCTATCAGTAGTTGACCGAGAGGGGGAGGATTAGCTGGAACGCCAATTGTGTGGGCGGTCCCAGTAACTAATGAGAATGAGTTAATTATTTGGCGTAGTCTGTCAGACGACGCCGGTCCAGTTAAGGGTTAAACCATTTTCGCAGGTTTCTGAGCCAGGATATTCTTCTCCTTCCAACAGATCTTTTTCCTACAATTTTTCCCTGGATTATGAGTTGCAAAATCTTATACCTTGGACCTCTCATGATATGGCCGAGATATTGCAATTTTCTTTATTCACTTCCTTGCAGATCTCTACGCCCTTCCTCATTCTTCTCAGAACCTCCACGTTGGTGACATGTTCTGTCCATGGTATTCTCAACATCCTACGGTATGTCCACATCTCGAAGGCCTCCAGTTTCCGCTCGCAAAGCTCGTTGAGGGTCCAAGCTTCCATACCATACAAAAGGACTAGGAATATATAACATTTGATACGAGTTCTCAGATCTAGGCTCAAATCGCGGCTACAGAGCAGCTTCATTTCATAATCTTGAGCTCCTCGCCTTCCGCGTACAGATGTTCATCGGGCACTCCAGTTTTAGTGACAATCATGTATTTGGTCTGAGTGTCAGACCATATTCTCGACTAGTTGTGATGACGTTATTTAACATATTCTGGAGGTCTTGCATGTTTTCAGCGAGAAGGACTGTATCGTCCGCGTAGCGCAAATTGTTCAGTGGTATGCCGTTAACTAGTATTCCACCATCCATACTCTTTACTATCAGCTAAAATTACATATAATATCGTATTTATTTTTTTAAAATGCGCTGTTAAATTGTACGAAAGCGCCCCCTAGCGTCTACGTTCAAAACTTTATTATTATTAGTTTTATGGTATAGAGTTAGAAACGCTCTTTTAAACGAGCCCTCGTTTATTGGATTCTGATCATCCAGTCCGGAATTATTAATATTTAAATAAAGACAGATCTAACGTTCCCCCACCACTTTATTTTAGCAGATAAGGGAAAATTGTTCTAACAAAAAAAATCCAAAATTTACTAAAGATTATGAAGCTATTATTTATAAGTACCCACTATCTAGGCAAAATTCGTTATGTTATTTAAACTGTTATTAAAATATGCCTTAATTTTCAGGTTCTTATGATATGACAATAAGGATTTGGGATTTGTCCGCATCGGCACCAGAAAGTCCGAAGATTGTTCTGGAAGGACATACAGACCAAATATTCAGTTTCTGTTGGTCACCTGCGGGTGACCAGTGCGCCACTGTCTGCAAAGATGGTAAAATAAGAGTGTACAATCCCAGGAAGAATATTCAACCCAGTAAAGAAGGCAAAGGTAAGTTTTTATATATTTTTGCCTTAATTTTAATTAAGAAAATCACTAAAACTAATCTACAGGGTGTTCCATTAAAAAAAAAACAAGAAAAATAACTTAAAAATTTAGTAAGTTTGGAATTGAATTTGAAGACGTGTACAAATTACGATTATGACATTAAAAGTAGAAGTAGTTTAGAAAAGCCCTGTAGAAAAAGTTTAATTCATTGAATATATCTCTAAAACAAGTTTTTTTAAAGGGCCTGAAGGCAATCGCGGAGCTCGTATAGTATGGGCCCTCGATGGAAGATACATAGTAACGATGGGTTTCGATAAAGTATCCGAAAGACAAATCACCATCTACAAATCCAACGATCTGAGTACTCCATTAAACACAGTAGGACTTGACGTATCTCCTGCTATCCTGATACCCTTTTACGACGAAGACAGCTCAACGTTATTTGTCACCGGCAAAGTACTAAGTCACACTATACCGTGCGTTGCATCGTCTACCTGAACATAGGAAATCCTACGTAAATTTTAAAAATGACGAATAAGTTTTGTCAGGACCGAATTATTTTTCAATGTTTCCGAAAAAAAAGTGTTTGTTTTATAACTCCAACAGGAATTGGCAGGAGTATGGAGTGTAAAGATGAGGAGAAACATCTCTTACGAGACTTTATTTAAAAAAGAGGTCCCAAAAATGGGAAGAATAAGTGAATAATAAGAAAGAATAACCAAATGACCACAGTGGAGCTAATGACGCATAAATCTAAAAAATGAAAAGTAACCATAGATAAGAGAATAAAAGCATAGTAGAAGGAAAAGAGTAATTGCAATCTCCCAGATATTTTCTGCCAGTTTTTACAATCTGTCGAATATCGGCAGATCACAGAGCGTTTCAGTTGAGTTTCGTCCGTCGACCTGCGAGGTTCGAGCGTTGCGTCCCAGCACAGAGACGGATTGACAAAAAATGAGTGCCTTACTGTGTGCTGCTATTGGTTGTAGTAATAATTTAAAAGCTTGTTCTTTGAGTTTTTTCGAGAGTCATTTGTGATCATTGTTGATATTATTTTCATTGAAACCTCAATTTTTTTATCGATTTGACAACCATCCCTTGCCTTAAGCTGCCTGGAGGACACTACCCACTAAACGTAACCCCCTCGCTCCTGCCACGTCTACCTGGACCCGCTGGACGCATCTCCTCAAGTAGACGCCGGACTGTTCCTTTTTTTTTCATTACCCCTGCTCTTCGCTGTATTTTGCCTCTAGTATATTTTGGGCCAGTTTTTAGATGGCTTCAAAGTTTTCTCTTCTTTCTGTTACCGATTTTAAGAAGGTATCTGCGGAGATGTTGCCACCAATCGTCATGCGTGCCTCACATCTTTCCTGTTCCCATCTTGGACAAGCAAACATTGTGTGTTCTGGAGTATCATTGGGTTCAGCACAGTATCGGCATTCCGCGACTTCCCTCTTTCCAATTTTACACAGGTAACTCCTAAAATTTCCCTGGCCACTCAATATTTGAGTAAGATAGATGTTTACCTCTCCATGCTTTCTTTTAATCCACATATTTATATTTGGGATGAGCTTATATGTCCATCTTCCTTTTTGTGATACTTCCCATTCTGCCTGCCACTGCTGCACTGTACGGTTTCTCTCCATCTCTCTGCTTGCTCTGGTTTGTACTTCACCCTTGAGAAAGAGTCGTTCTCTTTCTCTTGAGAGAAGATGCAAGGGCACCAGACCCGTTATCACCAAGGCTGCTTCAGTTGAAGTTGGTCCGATACGCCGAGCAGACCCTCAAAGCCATGACTCTCTGTGCACCTTCAAGTCTTTTTTTATTTACGTGCATATTCGATGCTTCGTTCCACACAGGTGCTCCATACATAATAATATTCTGGCACGCATATGCTAACACTCTTCTCTTTGCTGGTGTTGGGCCCCGAACGTTTGGCAGTATTGCGGACAACGCTTTAGCAGTTCGTTGTGATTTCAGACACACCTCCTTGATGTGCAGGCCCATCGTGAGTGCACGGTCTATGTGGAATCCAATCCCTTGCTTGCTGTTTAACGAACTGCACCATTATTGAACAAAAATTTGCTAGTACCAAAAAAAAACTGGAAATCCCGGTTCCTTAGAGACATGGTACAAATTACTGGTTAATGTTTATTAGCAGTTATTGAAGTTTAAATATGTTATTTTATTATTTAGTACAACGTGTTGTTCAATGTATTAGTTATCCAATGAAAATCACCTAACCAATATACGAGTATTACTACAAAACAAACACATTAATGTTAAAATTAAACTTGTTTTAAATTAAAATAAAGTTGTAGAAAATCTTTAAAATAGATAATATAAAAATATGTTATATATTTTTTCCGCATTTCTTCTCATTAGAAGATTTTCAGACACAGAAGAATTGTCACTTACACGAAATGTGATATTCTATTTTCAAGCAAATTTTTACTCGATGATCAATTTTTTTTATTTTATTTTATTGTAGACTCATACTCATATTTTCCTAAATACATCTCTATGAAACTATGGTGAGTGCAACTACTATACTTTGCCTAGTTATAGACTGTATACAGCTACGTCAGTGGTCACGGGACGCGAGAACAAGGTCATATAAAGTGGCAGAAAAAGAACAAAGGATTTGACAAGGAGTAAAGCTACTAGTTTCCTTATACTATGATAAAAGTAACATAACCAAACATTACCCAAAAAAGCTTTGTTTTTATTTTTTAGAATATAAAATAATTATTTTTTATATATTAGAGGCCCACTCTATTGCTGCCGAATAAAAATCGATAAATCGTGACATGAAAATAAAATTTGTATTTTTTTGAAACCCGCGCCTTCGTGTCGAATATTTATCTCTTGAATCATTTCCTCGAGGGGTGTCTCACTCGGGTAAAAAATGTACACGTACTGCCAAAATATCCTTCCACTTTTAAGCGACTGCCAGAGACTTTGAAGAAGACTGCCTATGACTGCCATGTAATTATTATAGGCGACTGCCATAAGACTGCCAATGACTGCCAGCAACTGCCAAGAAAATGTACATGTAATTCCAATAGTGAGACACCCCTCGCATTTCCTGTTCTAAAAATTTTTGGCGCATATTTTAAATTTTATGTTTTTGCTACAGCAGCGCCATCTTTAGTCTTCCCTTTTTATGACATTTTTTAATGCACGAAGATATTTCTCCTTTTCTCTACACTCCATACGCAAAAGCTAGTGAAAATTAAAAATGTCCTTCATTTTAAGGGGTTCTTTAAAACGTTTCAAATATTTTTTCTTTGTAAAATAAAATGGAGAAGACTTTAAAACATTTATATGGGATATCCTATGTTCAGGTCGGCGATGTAACAGACTGTATAATATTTCTACGGAATTTTATATGGAGTTTGGTTTCTAGGGCGACTCGACCATCTACGCGTTCGAAATAACCGACGAACATCCTTATATCTGTCCTTTGAGCCATCACAGATGCAACTCGCTACATCAGGGACTGTCATTTCTACCCAAAAACACTTGCGAGGTACAGAATGTTGAATTCGCCAAAGCGTACAGACTGACAAACAATTCCATCGAACCTTTGAGCTTTACAGTGCCTAGGATAAAGACGGAACTGTTTCAAGATGATCTGTTTCCACCAACAAGGGTAACAATTGGAATATTTAATTATTATTGTTTTATTATAGGCTTAGTGCGACTACTCGAAAAATTTGTTATAATATTATTCGAAAAGTATTAGTAGGTACAATTTGTCAAAATTCTGAAAAATAGATTTTTTGCAATAACTAAAGAATACAAGGACATGTAACACCCGAGACCAAATTGTTACCATGGCTCCAAACAGTGCCGTGGCTATATATTTTTCTTAACTTAGCTGCTTGAAGGGATATTTATATTTTTGATAAATGTTTAGACTACGCCTATGGGGTAGGCGGTGGTATCATACTAATTAATTATAAAAAGAACGTATTAAAATAACAAAAGGTACAAAACTAGTATGGACGATTAGCACATATCAAGTAGTACATATATTATCAGAAAAATGATTACCAAATGGGCTCTTTCACAAAAAAAATACCCAATTCAAGGACAAAATCTGAAATAGAAGACTATTTTCAGTATATTTAACCAAAAAAAAATAGTTCCATAACATTGAATAATTTTTTATAGGCCCTCAGAATTGCTTTAATTTGGAATAATTTTAAAGTGCCAATTGATGACGTATGAAAAATACGCCCAATCATATTGCAGAACAGTGCTCGTGCGCCAGCCAACAACTGGCAACATTGCGATTTGATTTGACGTGCATGTTGATTAATAAATTTGAGGTTAAATTTTTTGTTTACTCCTTTGTTTTGAAAGGTTGTAATCCGTTTGTGAAAGCTTGTAATCAAATTTTAAGATTTAAATTGTTATTTTTTGATAATTTGTTCCATCATGGCCGTACCAGAACCTGGATTCGAAAAGGCCATCTGATTTACAACCTTACGCAGGTGTTGTCGCTTTTCAACATGCCAGTTGTGACGTATTAAAAATAAAGTGCGGATTTTTATTCTGGCCTTTTTTTTTAATTTATTTTCTTAAGAACGACTTCAAGTTTTTCGAAAGTGAGATAGCAGAAAATTCTAAAATTAATTGCTTTATGCTTGTGTAGCCGAAATAAATATATATTATATTTCAGAAATCTGCCTAAGGCTTAGCCCAATCCTGTCGTGTTAAGCCACGCCCAAAATTCCAAACACACGTGCTTTGATTAAGGCTTGATTAAAGTTTGCAGAGCTTCAACATTTGCCATAAAATAGCGATCAATTTGTTACAAAACTCTATAAATTATATATTACTGTAATCACAAAACTTCAATCTATTTCCGTATTGTAACGGAATTTTAAATTATACCTGTATTTTCGAGAAAATTTAGTCCAAATATAAGGACTATTTTGTTAATGTTTAACCATCAAAATCTTAAAAATAAAGAAGTTGTCTAAAATTTTCTACAGTACGGATACAGTATAATCGTTTATCTTTAATTTCCTTCTTCATTTGTGTAAAAATACCTAGCTAGTTTTACAAACGTTAAATGCCGAACGCTTATTTTGAAACTTTTTCAAACTAGTGAAATGGACTCCTAAATATTATAACATAGCCACAATTTAAATACTATTATTTTAATGCGATCAAAACGAACAGTAACTAGGATGGCGTGAAATAAAAGCATAGATAAATGAAACAAGTTTAGATTGGAAAGTGCCCATAAGGACAATGTAAACACTATTTGGCGCTATTCTTGCAACGGTCGCGACCCAAAACTTTTGAAAATTTCGAAGCGGTTCGGCTTTTTCCGGAATTATATCGCCAAATATTGTTTATTCCTTTGAATAAGAAGACTAAGGAAGGAGCATATCAAAAATCTTAGGTACACCGCGATGGGCCTCAAATATGGCCGACTTAAATTCCGGTTTATCAGTGTCGTTCTAATTTTATTTAAAAAATGTAAAACTATGATGTAGGGTAGACGTGGGGTAGACCCAATAATTTGTTGTTTTATTTTACGTTGTGAATAAATGCTGGTAGTTATTAAAATTGTTATAAAAATATAAAATTCTAATAAAAATAGATAAGTTATAATAATTATTTATTAACACAAACATCCGATACACTACTGAACCAGGTAAGTCAAATTGACATATCTAAATTCATTCACATCTAATCTTTGACAAGTAGTAAATAAAAGCAAAAATGCAAGAAAAAATATATAATTATTAGTTAATTTAAGTGAATTTCATAAATGATCGGTTTACTACACGTATGTATATTATATAGTCACTTACTAGCGAAAAGTTGTTCCATTATTTCACTCGATTTTTGACCAAGATCTACCGCACGCTACACAACCAACTATTTTACAGTCTTTTTCGATAAATCGCAATAGTGTCACTGTTAATTTAAGTTCTGCCACAATTTCCATCCAGATTTACTACCTTTATACAACTATCAGTAATAGAATAAATAATGAATAACATAAAATAAGCTCCGTAAAGACTGACAAATCCACAAAATTTCAAATCAAATTCAAATGTGTCAAATGAATCGTCATACAGAACTGTCAAGGATCCCCACCCTAGAGTGCTTTTATGGCGCTTTTTCCGCCCACCATGCATGAATACATGGATAGCATTATGCTCCTTCCTTAGTCTTCTTATTCAAAGGTTTATTCAAATTTATTATTATTTTCTTTTAATTTTATAAATAAAATACAGTGTGTTGCATACAAGAAACTATATTTTATATAAGGACATGTATGAAATACCTCTAAAACATTGGAAACCGACGTTATGTCACGATCCACGATGGTTTTTGCAGTTCACAGCACAGCTTTTTAAGTTTTTAATGCACAATTATCACCGGTTTGAGTAAATAAAACTTGAATTAAACTCAAAGATAGCAATAATTACTTTGAAAATCGACGCTATAAAGACTTTTCGGAATTTCTTTAACGAGAGCGGTTTAGATTTTGAAAGACTTTATGATTTTTTTGAAGAAATACCTAGCCAATTTTACATAAAACATTAAATGCCGAACGCTTATTTTGATACTTTTTCGAACTGGTGAAATGGACTCCTAAATATTATAACATAGCCACGATTTAAATACTATTTAATGCGATCAACATAAACAGTAACTGGGATGGCGTAAAATAAAAGTTAGTCGGACAGTTCTGATGTCTGCCGTATCGAGCGCTGCTGTCGAAATTTTAATAGCGATTGAAATGCACCAAGCCTATAATTTTATCGTATGGGACATTTAACCTACTACATTGTTTCTAATGGATGGGGTGGCTATTTAAATGAGTTTGTGCTTGTAGATAACATGGAAACCATCCTCAACTAGCGCAGAATGGTTTAGTGGCAAAGACAAAGGTCCTGAGAGGTTAAATTTGAAGCCTGAAGGAATGGAATCTCGTAAGTTATGAATACACAAAACAGCTTTTTAAGAACTTAATTGCACACTAAAATTTTTAATACAGTTTACTCTCTATGTTTGACGAGATAAGTTATTTTTTAGTTACCGAAAATCAGCCACAGCCGAACCAGGAGAACAGAACGATAAATAAATCGGCGTCTAGTCCGTTTATTGGAGCGTCAAAACCGTTCAATAGACTGGGATGGAACGCAGACATGAGCGGGGAAACCAAAGCCAAACAAGTTGAGGTAAGAAATTAGAATTAGAACAGTTAGTGGCTTGAATATGTAACTTGAATCTCAACCAAATTTAGTCGTCTGAAACTGAGATAATAATATATCCCTTATGCATCGTTAAAGTTTATGTTCTACTGTCTAAATCAAAGACATCTATCTTAAAGGAGATGAAACTATTTACATTTTAATCCCGATCAAACATTGTTTTCAACAGAAAGCGATGATGACACATTTCTGCGGTTTGCGTTAGATCTACGACTTGTGTTTGAAAACGAAGTATGTTTAAAGTAGTAGTGGGAACTATCGAATGAATACTATCGAAACATTCGATAGTTGCAATTCATTCAAATAATTCGATAGTTGGTAAGAAAACATTCATCGAAAACTATGCGAATAAAAATTATCGAATAGATGCGTCATCTGCCTTGAAATATTGTATTCTAGTAATTCGGTAGCAAAAACCATTCATTTATAAAATTCATTCATTTACAAAATTAATTTATTCGTCAAGATCGATTATAATAAAATATAAACTGGATTTTAGTTGTCGTTCGACGACGTAGGTTTCTTTCCTAGAAACGCGACAACGATCGATGGCAATGCTATGAAAGAAGCCGGCATCTTTGATTTTTTGCGGAGTCAGATAAAGATAAGGACACATTATTTTTTTATTGAGGTGCTAGTATTTGCACAGAAAATACATTATGAAGGGCGCTGTTGCCAAATATTGGTATTAGTATTAGTTGATATTAGCAAAGAATATTATTGTTTGGCATTAGTTATAGTTAGGGATAGTATGTCTATATATATTTTGCATTTTTTTAATTAATATTCTGTTGTTACACTGCAATAATATTTGTTATTTTGGATGTAGGAAAATTATTTTTAATGTTTTTAAGCAAAGACTGGTTTAGTAAATAATAATAACAGTAATAATTTGTTATACCTATTAACAACAAAATTTAAAATCATTTAATATAAACATTTTTCTTAAGTAGTACAAAATATAAACAACAAATTAGTAGTCAAAATTAATTATATGGGATCCTATTTAAAAATAATATACCTAGTCTCTAAATTTTTTGGCAACGTTGGTTTATTAAATAATACTAATTACAGAACTAATTTGTTATATAAACATTTATTAATTTTCTAAGCATGCAGTGTAATGGAAGGAAAATATAAATAAAAAATTAGAAATCAAAATTATTTATATTACTATTTAAAAATAACATTTACTTTTACTGGCATTTACTTTAAAAAATAAATGAAATATTTCTTCGCAAAAAACTACATGTAAGAGAATTAGCATAAACAAAATAAAAACATCGTTAACTTTTTTTTTTAAATTGGCACGTGTAAAACTTTCAATTTAATTTTCTCACCCCAAAGTTTGAGTTCGATAACCACATTTACTTAACCACATTACTTAAATATGATTATTAAGTTCAACTTCTTCTTCTTCTTCTTCCTCTTTCTCAGCCTGGTTCCATCCAGTGTTGGATATAGGCCTCTTCTAGGTTTTTCCATGCTTCGCGATCTCTAGCCAATCTTATCCATTGTCTTCCCGCCACTGCCCTGACGTCATCGACCCATCTCTTTTTTGGTCGGCCCATACTCCTGGTTGTTTCCCTAGGTCTCCATAGGATTACTTTTTGGGGCCATCGGTCTGAATCCTGTCTTGCCACATGTCCTATCCATTGCCACTTCAGACTTGCCACTCTTTTAACGACATCTATTAATTTTGTTTTTTGACGTATGTGGGTATTCCGTATTTTTTTCTCTAATATTGACTCCCAACATGATTCTTTCCATGGCTCTTTGTGCTACTCGTATTTGTTCTGCTGTTTTTCGAGTAATTGACATAGTCTCTAAGCCATACGTAAGCACAGGTAGAATGCAGCTGTCGTAAGCTTTTTTCTTTAGGTTCATGGGCACCTTTTTATCCTTGAAAATATTGCTCATATTTCCAAATGCTACCCATGCCAAATGGATCCTGCGTTTGATCTCCGTATTTTGGTTTTCCTTGCCCAGCTTGATTTTATGACCTAAATATATATATAATGGTCTACGTTTTCAATAATAACGTTGTCAACGGTAATGTTATGGATATTGTTGCTCATTATCTTGGTCTTTTTCAAATTCATTTTAAAGCCAATTTTCTGGGATTGGTCATTTAGCTCATTTAGCATGGTGTTTAGTTCTTGAATGTCGGTGCTCAGCAAGACAATATCGTCTGCGAACCTCAGATGGCTAAGGTGTACCCCATCGATGTTTAGACCTCTATTTTCCCATTCTAATTTCTTGAAGACATTTTCCAGTGCCAGTGTAAATAACTTGGGAGAGATGGTATCTCCTTGTCTCACGCCCTTGCCGAGTAGTATTTTTTCTGTTTTGAGGTCATCATCTAATTTAACTTGGAAGGTTGCACTATCATAGATATTTTTAATAATGGAATAATATCTGGAATCAATTCTCGCGTCCTCCATTGCAGCTAGAAATGACCAGGTTTCGATGCTGTCAAAGGCTTTTTGGTAGTCTACAAAGGCCAAATGTAGAGGTATATTGTATTCTGTTGTTTTTTCAATGACTGTTTTAATTGTTTGTAGATGATCGATGGTACTAAAACCTTTTCGAAAGCCTGCCTGTTCTATTGGCTGATAGGAATCTAGTTTCGTAGACAGTCGGTTGTTGATAATCCTAGTGAAGAGCTTGTATAGATGCGAGAGAAGGCTTATTGGTCTATAATTCTCTATATTTGTAAAATCTCCTTTTTTGTATAATAGCACAACTTCTGCGTTTTTCCATGCGTCCGGGATTCTACCCTCCATCAGACATTTATTTAACAATACTTCCACGGCATCCACTAATGGTTTTCCGCCCATCTTCAGCATTTCAGGTGTAATACGATCTTCTCCTGGGCTTTTGCCATTTTTTATTTGTTGATTAAGTTCAACTAATTCATATTATTAAAACATCTAAAATACAAATATGTATTTTTAAAATTAATTGTAAGTTCATTTCAAAATTACTACTTCTCAAAATTTCCCATTAAAAAAATAGACCATATACCATATAAAATTAAATAATTGAAGGATCGGGCTAGATTTTCGGAAAAATTTTGACCACCTGCACACGCACACAATCGTCAATTAAAGAAACTACTATTTTAGTATTTTAAATATTTTAATAAACGCAAAAATTTCACAGTATTTACAAGGCGAAGTTATAAAAATTTGGAAGAACTAATAATGCACTGACGCACACAAAAATCAAACGAATACTAAATTTCATTTATCAAAAGCATTCGATAGTCGTGGCTCAACGATAACCATTTAGTCGCACGGCGAGGTTGTCACATATTTATGCTTTGGTATACAAATGAATGAATGATTTTATTCGAATAAAACCATTCGATAGTTGAAATCATTCATTCAGTAACCATTCGATAGTGCCCATCGCTAATATTTATGCCCTTATCTCCTTTTAATTTATATAAAAGTGTTAAAAGTATTGTAAACAAATAGAGTGCTGTGTCTTCCCTTTAGTTAGATGTCTTTGAATGAACGAGTTACAATAGTTTAGACATTCCATATTGGTTCTTTCAGTGAATAATGCATATTACAGATCCAGAAGGCTATGAGTACTAGGCTGGAAGTCAACTTAAAACTTGAACAAGACGAGATGGAAGGAGTAGACGAAAAAGAATGGAACGATTAAAAACCTTCATTGATCTTTTCAATTTTTACATATTTATTTCACTATTTTGTGTGATGTTTGGTACCTCCAAGGTACTCAATCACTCTATGCTTTTAACTTTGAAAAAGAAACTTTAAAATAAGGATAGGCTTCTGGAGCCCCTTCAGTTTTCCTAATATTTAAATATTAATTATTTATTCGTTTTTTTTTTAAATATTTTTGTTGTAGGTAATTTTATCTAAAAATAACACTATAAAATCAAATTTTAAGGTTACGTTTTTAAATATTAAGAGAATCTGATAGAGGCGTTATAATATAAATAAGCGTCATATATGTAGATAAAAACATAAACCAGCTTTATCTTTTTTAATTTTATAACTTTATATACCGGAAACTTGATGTGATGGTTGATTAACAAGAAATATCTTTATTAACCATCTCTAGTGTGCAATTCTGGCAATTTTTCGTGTTTTAAACACATATTTTCGTTTCAAAAAGAAAAAAAAACTACAGTGTATTCATCAAAGGCACGGCAATAATGTTTATAATATAATAGAGAAAATATCTCTAATGATTTATTATCTCTGAGAATAGTGCAGTTGCGACAGTACTGAATCTGAATTCATAGTAAAAATCATAATTTTGTGTCAATAAGTTCACAAAATAAATGGGAGATATTTTTATTATTGAGTTATCTGGAAAAAATTTATATACAATTTCTTCAGCATATCCAATAACTAATAAACATGACATATGTCACGCGAGAAAACATGATCATGGATGCAAATTACAGAAATATTGTATACATATCCTAGATCATATATACAGGGTGTCCCACTTAAGATGGATACAAGCCAATATCTTGGTTGTTTGTTGAGCGATTTTTTTCATTTTTGGCAGGAGGCTGTATGGCTATAAGACGTACATTTTGCCCAGGGTAAGAAATGCGATACCTCATAGACGTACGTTTTAATGGGGTTTGATATTTTTCGAGTCAAGAGTAAACTACCTTTAGGACAGTATTTATTTCAAATCTGATAAATTATATTGAATCCTCCTTATCCAAGATACCTAAGTTCTAATTTTGATAAATATTGATACAGGGTGTGTTATTAAAATAAGACATTTTTATTTTTATTATTTTTTTAAATACTTACGACGCCACTGGATAAACAACTGGTTTATTATCAATAACCAATTATAGCCAATTATCAATTAATAATCGATTTAAGTTTTCAGATAGCTTCCATAATAATTAAGATACGATACAAAAAAACTAAATATTTTCAATTTATTTTGTTTACTTTAAAAAATAGTTTTTTAAGTTAGCTAATACAAATGAATAAAATGAGTTACAAAATAATTTAAAACCCCAGTTTGCAATGGAATCTGAAATATGATTTTTATTCGTTTTATTGAGAAATATTTTAAAAAATCCAAATTGTTATTTAAAACAATCACTATTAACTTTGAAAAATATGCTCTAAACAAAGATTTATAAAACTATAACGAACTAAAAGTCAACATCTTCGACCAAACTTAAATCGATTATTAATTGATAATTGGATATAATTGGTTATTGATAATAAACCAGTTGTTTATCCAGTGGCGTCGTAAATATTTAAAAAAACAATAAAAATAAAAATATCTTATTTTAATGTCACACCCTGTATCAATATTTATAAAAATTAGAACTTAAGTATCTTAGGTAAGGAGTATTCAATATAATTTATCAGATTTGAAATAAATACTGTCCTAAGGGTAGTTTACTCTTGACTCGAGAAATATCAAACACCATTAAAACGTACGTCTATGAGGTATCGCATTTCTTACCCTGGGCAAAATGTACGGCTTATAGCCATACAGCCTCCTGTCAAAAATGGAAAAGATCGCTTAACAAACAACCAAGATATTGGCTTGTATCCATCTTAAGAGGGACACCCTGTATGTACTTACGTGAATATCTTACTTAGTTTTTTACTAAGGAAAATATCCTTATAACTTTTGAGTTGTCCACCCGGTTTCCTCTTACCGTCTACAAGCTATTAATAAAGAAGAGATTTTGGTAGGCGATTTTCTTGCATCCTGCATAGGTGATCAATCCACCTTAAGCGGGATTTAGTAATCATGACTTCAGCGCTCTCGCAGCTTTTTCAAGGACCGATACGTTTGAGACATGGTGGAACCTGTTGATTCTTAACAGTTGTCTAAAGTGTATCTGTTGCAACTTGTTTAATGCGTTCATGTGCCGGCAGTACGGCACCCAGGTTTCGCTTCCATATAACACGGTGGGAATTATTGCGCGGTACACTGCAAGTTTCGTTTTTGTGCTAAACTCGTACCTGTCTTTTAATTTCCAGAATGCTCTTGAGGCGCTGCTAATTTTGTGCTGAATTTCAAAGCCGATGTCGGCCTTTTCGTGAATATCAACGACGTACTATTATCTTATTTCTTTGTTCCGCGCGCGGTACTGTTACTCTATCTAGCCTTGGTCAGGAACTATCGCCCACACGCAAGTGTGATAAAAGCTTGAAAGTCAAAATAAAAACTTAGCGTCATATGCAAACAAAATAAGGTTATAGCTTTTATGACAGTTCCTAGAGTTGTCATTAACCAAGGATACTATAGAGATAAGGATAGTTCGATTCCTATCTTCCTGCACTGTCAGTTTTTTTACATCATCTAGGGACCGAGTTGTAGTTGGCGCTAAAGATTTTAGACAGTGACAGTTATTTTTGCGTTTAACGGACGAGCGCACAGTGCGGTGGAAGATAAATTTAGCGGGACAAAACCGTTTGGTTAGAAATAAGCCAAAAAATGTGTACTGATAAGAATAAATAGTAAACATTCCAATTGATATAAAAATGCATGAATATTCTTTGTATTTCGATACATTTTTATCAACCAAATTTGGTCGTTTTCTGCTCAGCAAGGCAAAGATCATACGGAAACAAAATATTTACAAGTGCTTATACATTTTATTCCAAAGCCAATTTATATTGAAGATTGCCAAAGGTATGTACTTTTCTACTGCACTTTTTTCAAATATCGATATATTGAATGATGTAGATTTTTTGAGTTACCTAAAGTTACCAACACAGGTAGTCACAGTCACAGGAAGTTCAAGCTTACCAGGTGAATGGACTTGGTCTTGAGGCCGGGCTTACTTAGGCCCAAATTACCATAGCGGAAATATATCCGCGGACTTTGCCTTTCACGCAAACCTATGGTATTTTGGATTAAATGTCCGGACCCAAGGCCACGGCCGAAGGCAGGGCCTTTCCGTGTATGGGCAGCTAATGAATGACACAAATAGTCAGTTCGGCAATTTTCCTCAAGACAATATCATCCAAATGATATTCTAGTGTAAATAAAGCATGACGATATGCTAAAGTCTTGTTTTACTTTCTGATAATTTATAATAAAACTAAATGATTATTACTAGTTTGAATAAAAGTTTAAAAAATTGTCTTAGATACTTACTATATACGAATTTACAATTACCGAGTGTTAAAATTAAAATATCTATCTTATTTATTATTTTCAAAACAAAATAGAATTTGTTAAAATAAAATATACAGGGTGTCACAAGATTACAAAGTAATTAAAAAATAACTGCTAAAGAGTTTTTTGTAAGTATTTCACCTGATATCATAATTTTATGTATTTGGTAATAGTTTACAGTACGGTTTTTGTGTGTCATGTACGAATAATATTATAGTTTTATTATCTTGTATTTATTTATTTATTAATAAATAAATAAATTTAACCATATGGTTGCTATATATTAGACCATTTGCTACGTTCTTAGATTTTAAGTCCCAAACATCGCTCCTGAGATTTTGTACCGCTAGAATAACCATCCGCCGCACTGTGGAGCGTTGGTCCCTGCGTGACGTAAGCATCCACGGCCACTATGACAGCGGCGATTTGACGCGATCGAACAGTCCTTGGTCATTGACAACATTTAATTTGTACTTTTTCAACCATATAAAATTGTACTTTTTGTGTATGACATTAAAAACGATTATAATTATTCTTTGATTATTGACTGAGACTAATACAATAATATATTTTGCTAACCAGTGATTAGACATTACAATTCAAATGAAAAAGTTTAGTTAACGTAAAGCCTTAAGGTCCCATATACACTTCGCATATTTTGCACGGTTTTAACTGACCAGGTAGTACTGTTTTTCAAAACTTTTTGAATTCAGATTCAGAACACCAACCTCACTAAATTAAATTTCCAACTTGCGGAGTTGTATTACTTTTTCTCTACATTACAAAATGCACAAAAATGCTTTAAGAATCCGAAAAGTATTAAAAATCACTTTTCCCCTACACATATTTTAATTCTAAAACTTCATATTTGCAATTATTTTTTTTACATAAGTGCCATGTTTTAAATAGTATGTGATTATTAATCATGACATTACATGTAACGTTGTAGAACTTAAGTTTTTAACCTACCTGCTGTTTCTTTTATCATGTGTCTACAGGGTTGTTCACCACATACGATGCGGAGTATTGTAGCTACACGATTACATTTTTACAAATTGTAAGTTTTGGATTTGTTGCAAGATTATTAGAGCTACAATTTAAAAATAATTTTACAAGATACAGAGTGTCCCAAATAAATGAAAATTAGTATAGTTGTATTTTCTTAAATGGAACACCCTGTATATTATTCTATTTTTAGATTTTACGATATAATAATATTGGCAATTTTGGAAATTGCAATAAAAAATTTAATGCTTCATTTCTCCAAGGGTATCAAAGTTTTTAATACTAAATATTTACTGAAGAGTATTTATTGATCAGATATTGTGTTGCAGTAATAAGAATTATACTACCTTATACAGAGTGTCCAAAAATTTATAATAAATAATTACTAGTTTTAAACGGTAATAATTTGTTTAATTTAAATGGAACACCCTGTATATTTTACGTGAATCGGATGCATAATTTATTTGTCTGTCAAATTGTATAATACAATTTTTTACGTATCTCTTCAAGTTTTCGTAGAAAATGAATTTTCTTATAATTTAGCTCTCATTTATCACTATACCCATGGAATATTGACATTTTATATTTTTTTAAAGCCACATATGTACAAAATGTACAGGTGGTAAAAATAATAATATTGCAGGACCACTTGTTTACAAAAAGAAAACTATTTAAATCTTTGTAAAACATTATACCAATTAAATATACCACCATTATTTCCGCCCAAAAATTAGTTAATTACATACTTAATTGTTTTAATTAATAAATTATTCTAAATAAATGTGGATTTGACTCAATATAATAATAAATTAATTTAAAATTTTTAGAGTCAAATTATCTTTATTTTTTTATAAATTTATTAATATTTAATTATTAATTGGATAAATACAAAATGACGCTAAAATCGAAAACAGATACAGGGTGCTACAAATATATGGAAAAACTTATAAACTATTGGAAAAATAAAGAGGGTTAAAGTGCAGTGTTGAGGTTTTTTGTTTGTAATAAAAATATTCTAATGCGTTGATTTACTGTTATATTCTTTGCTTATAATAAAGTTATTGTACAGGGTGTCCCACTAAGAATAGCTCTCGGCTATATCTCGGAAAGTATTAGCCGTGAGGCTTGCGGAAAAAATATTCATAACTAAAGAGACCATGAGAAAATGCTGGAAATTATTTTCAAATTTGTAGAATGGCCGCTAGAGGGCGCAACTGCTATAAAAAAATAAGAAAATGGAGTTTTTACACAACTTTGCCTATATAAGAGGTACTATAAATAATAGCTTCATAATCTTCAGTAAATTCTGAATATTTTTTGTTAGAACCATTTTCCCCTATCTACCAAAATAAAGTGGTGGGGGAAGGTTAGATCTGCTTTTATTTAAATATTAATAATTCCGGACTGGATGGACGGAATCCATCTAACGGGGGCTCGTTTAAAAGACCGTTTCTTACTCTATATTATACCATATAAACAATAATAGTAAGCTTTTGAACGTAGATGCTAGGGGGCGCTGTCTTACAAATTAACAAACATTGCGCGTTTTTTCAAAAAAAATAAATGCGATGGTATATGTAATTTTAGCTGATAGTAAAGAGTAATGAAAGCTTAAAAAGTCAGTGAAAACCGCATCTTGATATCTTACCTATTACCTATTAAATAGGAAAATATATGTAAGCCCTTAATTACCATATTTTTATAACACGGTATCAGTAGTCTTAGATTTCAGTGGTAAAATCTAAAGCTATTTCTTTTTAAAAGGATCAAAACTAAAACATTCCACGACAGTTTGGCAAAGTTTATAAGCATTTAAAAATTGTAAGATTTTTCCAAAACATACTATATTTTTAGGTCACCCTGTAGATGGTTTGTAATGAGCCAACCACTTTCTTTCATTAAAATTTAAAATTGTTCTGTTTATACATTATTACGGTATATAAAAATAATTTTTTCGTCTTTTGGATTAAAAGTGTTGAGAAGAAAACCTCATGTCCAACCGCTCCCATAAGCTCGTTCCACTGTGCGGCGATTTGACGCGATCGAACAGTCCTTTAGAATATATACAGTCCTTGGTCATTGACAACATTTAATTTGTACTTTTTCAACCATATAAAATTGTACTTTTTGTGTATGACATTAAAAACGATGATAATTATTCTTTGATTATTGACTGAGACTAATACAATAATATATTTTGCTAACCAGTGATAAGACATTACATTTCAAATGAAAAAGTTTAGTCAACGTAAAGCCTTAAGGCCCCACATACACTTCGCTTATTTTGCACGGTTTTAATCGAACAGGTAGTACTATTTTTCAAAACTTTTTGAATTCAGATTCAGAACACGACCTCACTAAATTAAATTTCCAACTTGCGGAGTTGTAATACTTTTTCTCTTCCTTACAAAATGCACAAAAATGCTTTAAGAACCTGGAAAGTATTAATCACTTTTCCTACACATATTTTAATTCTAAAACTTCATATTTGCAATTATTATTTTTTTTACATAAGTGCCATGTTTTAAATAGTATGTGATTATTAATCATGACATTACATGTAACGTTGTAGAACTTAAGTTTTTAACCTACCTGCTGTTTCTTTTATCATGTGTCTACAGGGTTGTTCACCACATACGACACGGAGTATTGTAGCTAAACGATTAGATTTTTACAAATTGTATTAAGTTTTGGATTCGTTGAAGGACTATTAGAGCTACAATTTAAAAATAATTTTACAGAGATACAGAGTGTCCCAAATAAGTGAAAAATATAGTTGTATTTTTTTTTAAATGGAACACCCTGTATATTATTATATTTTTAGATTTTACGATTGAAATAAAGGTGAATTTGATTAAGGTTTATCACACTTAAACCTTACCGTTTTGGAAATATTTTCAATTTTGTGAAATTGCAATAAAAAATTTAAGGCTTCATTTCTCCAAGGGTATCAAAGTTTTTAATACTAAATATTTACTGAAGATTATTTATTGAAAAGATATTGGTGTTGCAGTAATAAAAATTATACTACCTTATACAGAGTGTCCAAAAATTTATAATAAATAATTACTAGTTTTAAACGGTAATAACTTGTTTAATTTAAATGGAACACCCTGTATATTTTACGTGAATCAGATGCAAATTTATTTGTCTATCAAATTGTATAATACCATTTTTTACCTATCTCTTCAAGTTTTTGTAGAAAATGAACTGTCTTTCAAAGCAACATATGTACAAAATGTACAGGTGGTAAAAATAATATTGCAGGACCACTTGTTTACAAAAAGAAAACTATTTAAATCTTTGTAAAACATTATACCAATTAAATATACCACCATTATTTCCGCCCAAAAATTAGTTAATTACATACTTAATTGTTTTAATTAATAAATTATTCTAAATAAATGTGGATTTGACTCAATATAATAATAAGTTATGAAAAGGAACGTCTTTTAATTTCTTTTAATTAATATATTAATTAAATAAAATTTATAAGGTGTTACTTTTTATCCTTCTGTCTAATACACATACAAAATTTAATTTTTTAGTATTTGGAGCAATTATTATCAATCAACGTAAACAGTCAATTAATGGAGTTTGAATACTGGGATTATATTAATTGGTCATCTTTAACAAAAAATATTTAAACAGTTTTTTTTATTTTTGAATGATATAAGCAAACTATATCGACAAAATTAGTATCTGGTACTCTTTAAAAATTAGTTACATCTTTAAAAATAATCTAAAATGTCGATATTTCATGGATATAGTGATAGTTGAGATCTAAATTATAAGAAAATGCATTTTCTAAGAAAACTTGAAAAGATAGGTAAAAAATGGTATATAAATACAATCTGATAGACAATTAAATTGTGCATCTGATTCTCGTAAAGTATACAGGGTGTTTCGTTTATTTTAAACAACTTATTGCCGTTTAAAACTAGTAATTAATTAATATAAATTTTTAGACGCTTTGCATAAGGTAGTATTTGGTTTATTATTGCAGCACAATAACTGATCATTAAATAAACTTCAGTAAATATTTAGTTTTAAAAACTTTGATACCCTTGGAGAAAAAAGACTTAAAGTTTTTACTGTAATTTCATAAAATTGAAAATATTTAAAAAACGGTAAGGTTTAAGTGTGATAAACCTTAATCAAATTTACCTCTATTTCGATGGTAGAATCTAAAAATAGAATAATATACAGGGTGTTCAATTTAAAAAAAATGCAACTATAATATTTTTTTACTTATTTGGGAGACTCTGTATCTTGTAAAAATATTCTTAAATTGTTGATCTAATGGTCCTTCAACGAACCCAAAACTTACAAATTGTAAAAATTTAATCGTTTACCTACAATATTCCGTGTCGTATGTGGTGAACAACCCTGTATAGTTTTTCTCGCGCTACTTTTCCTAGTTTTAACATCGTTTAAAGGTAGCGATTTGGTTTAAACGAAAAATATCTAGACGCTAGATACAAAAAATGTGTACTGTCATAGGCCAAGTCTGCGGACTTAGTCCGCCAAAGACTTGGTGCGGCCCACAAACGCAAAGACCGAAGACCGGACCTTATGATGTAAAGGGACTATTCAGACATCGTGTCCCGCCATACTAGGAAAAGTTCCGCGATATAAACTATATTAATTTGAAGTTATTTTATAAAGTCTATGTAAGAAAATAAAACTATAAAGGTCTTTAATCTGTGTAATATAACGATTTGCTGCTCATATTTCAACACGTATCATCTAGTCATTATGATGTTTTGCTTTAAATCATATCGTGATCTCTCTCATCAAAAATGTGGTCACTGCCATCTGCGATTCTAAAAGGAAATCTTAAAGTCTGCCAACAGACATTCCATGGTATGTGTGCCAAAAATTTTTTGAAACGTTTTTGTACCGGGTGTTTTGCCAAAGTGGCTCACCCCTATGCCTTTTTTATTTTTTGAAATAAAATGAGATTTGGTAATTTTTTTTGAATATGACATAAATGAGGATTGATTGACGTATTCAGATAGTTTCGGTCACTTCCTGTTTCACCGGAAATTACTTTCAATCTAGACTGCCACGGCTTTATATACGACAATTTGACTCCAAATACCAGGTATGTGGTACCAAATTATTCATAAAAATGTTTGTTTTTTTACTAAATATGCCAATGAGCCACCCTTGTTCCATTTGAAAAAATTGACTTATGATTAAAAATACGATTTGGGCATCTTTTATCTGACCAGGAAAAGACACGAAAAGCATTAGACGATCAAATGAATTGTTCCAAAGGTCCTTGATTAGAACTTAATGTTTTTAACACAGCCATGGCACTCTAGATTGAAATTTAAAATGCTATCTTTTTAGATGTCAAAAGTTGACATATGTTGTCATTCTATTCAGAATGTTATTTTCTATCATAATAAAGTAAAAAAATGCCGAGGATACCATTTAAAAATCAAAAGTTGTAGTAATTTTGGTGAAACAGGAAATGACCGAAAGTAATTGAATATGTAAATTAATCCCGATTTATGTCATTTTTATCTGAAAAAATAAAGTTATACTGGTGAGTTACTTTTGAAGAACACCCGGTATTCCAGGAGAGAATATTGTCAATTTATCACCGAGTGATTTTTATTTTGATGGACTTAATATTATTTACCAAACAGTTCCTAATATTTGGAATTCAAGTTCCATTTTTTTGTAGCTAAATAAATTAATTAATATAACTTAACAGTTTCACCTACAATTTCAAAGATCTTGAAAAATTGACAACATTTTCCAAAAAAAAAGTATTTAGCGTTATTGCTCTAAATTGTAAGCTCAAATACTCAAAAAATCATATTTCCAATAAGCTGTATTTTGGTACATCTTAGTTATATAAGCGCTATATAATATATAAAATATGTATACAAATTGTATTATTTTTTTTTGTATTTTTTTATTAATTTTGTATCTGTGTATTAATTTTTATATTTATTGATATGTTAGTGTATCCAATAGTAGTGCAGTTTCATACAAAAAAATAAATTGAAATTAGTAAAAAATGGTTTTATTTATACACACAACGCTGATATATTAAATTTAACTTAATAAAAATATAAATATATAATTATAAAATACAATTTTAGGGGATTGGAATGAAAACAACAATCAAGAAACATATTTTTGCATAAAAAATTAATATTACTAATAAAATTAATATCCTCCTACTCTGTCTCTAGGTATCAGTCGTAATTCGGATCCATGTTTCAAAAATACATTTCCTGAAAAAGAATGTTTGAATAAATTACAACATTATACAAGGTCGCTGATATGTATGGGTTGAACGGTCGAATATTAGGTAAAATATAAGAGGTACCGCAAAAAGTTAAATATAAAAGTTATAAAGTTTTTAAATATCTATTAGCGGGTAATAAATTTAAGTATACAGCGACGGTCATAAAGTCGTGGCACATCAAAGTTTCATTTTTTTAAACGGAACCCCCTGTATATTATTGCATATTTCGGTTCTTCCTTCAATTCTAAGCAAAAATCGAAATACACACAATGTACCTCAAACCAACCGTTTCAGAGTTATTGACTTTTAAAAATATCACTTAAATAATTCAATTTAATTAATTTCGATGTGTTTGGTTTGATTTAACAATGCCATTTTGCGCAAACTGTGATTCTCAATAATATTTGACATTAGTTTTCAAGTTATTATAACAAGTCTGGAAATTACAAAATTTTCGTTTAACATTTCAAAATCAAAACTTCATAATTCGGAAATTGTTGATTTAGGTATACAGTCAAAATACACATAAAGGTGCGTTCGCACCCAGCGCCGCATTTTTTTAACATGTACTTTTGAAGTGTATTTTTTTAGCGCGCACAAAAGTATATGTTCGCGGCGCGGAGCGACGCAGCCGGTGTGAACGCACCTTAATATACGTAAATACAAGTTAAGAAACTAAAACTTTGAAAAATTACTAATTTTTACACCACTTGACCCTTAGACAAGGAAAGAGAGGGGACAGGTAACGCGGCAGCTGAAAGTGAGGCCACTTGTCACCACTCGAAATCTCCAATGGCGTAGCATCAGAAATTAGCTTGTACCTAGACGATACAAAATATTTATTAAAACGTAAACTAATATATCGTTCATTTTTGAGTAATGCATACATATATAATTTTGTATTTTATAATCTCACCTTTATAATATTAGAATATCTAAGTCGATAATGCAAATTTTATTTAACAGTCACAGTGGACTGATTATCAAGACAATTATTTATTTATTAATGTGTGTATAATGTATAACTAAATAAAAAATAATGTAAATACATATGTTTTAAACGTGTATATACATATATACCGTAAAAACGGCGTCTTGTTTGTTTGGAAATGACGATTGCACAAATGAATATTAAAAATTACATTATTCATTGAATCCGTGATTGGCTAGATTCATTATTATACCGTATGCTCGCAAAAAAAGACGTCCAGTTGGCTTGTAAATTACGATCGATGACATTCCCCATATAATTATAAAATTACATAAAAACTATACAAAACGACATCGAAAAAAGACGGCGTCAGCGATGGCTATGAAATGAAGATCGCTGACATTTTATATGTAAAATTATATGGGGAATGTCGTCGATCGTTAGTTACAAGCCAACTGAACGTCGTCTTTTTTCGATCATACGGTATAATAATGAATCTAGCCAATCCCCTTCACACTTGCGTACGGATTCAATGAATAATGTAATTTCTAATATTTGTTACCTTCAATCATAAGAATATCCGAATTTTCCACAAAAAAATAAACAATTCTAGAAGCTTTGTGTTATTTTATTTATTTTTAAATTTTTATTAATTACTCACTGAATATTTAAAAAAATATATGTAGTAACAAGTACCCCACCACAAGTTTGTCCACCCCCAGCAAATCTTGGCAGGTAAATTTAAGTTTTATATAACAACTAAACATATAGGTTTTTTATCACTAGAATTTTTCATTTTTTTTATAGTTTACATTTATTTTACATATTTGATAACAATACTTTATACATTTTTTACATGTAAAATATATAAAAAAATGTTTATTGCAGAAATTGTATTTCTCTGATTATAATTCCCTACGCCACTGGAGAAATCCATGCTGAGCAGCATTATTTATAGTTTCAAACATTAATTATAATACAGGATATTGAAAATACTACTTGGAATTATTAAAAATAGTTTGGTTTGGATGTGGTACAAAACATATTAAAAGCATTTTACATATTTTTACTGCTATAATGAAAAAAATGTACATTTTATGACAAAATAAAAGTTGTGTATCGACTTTTACCTGTAAAATGTAATTCCAGTCATTTTTTTCTCGCTTCAGCCTTTGCAGCCATACGCTGAACATCTCACCATACTAAACAACACAGTTTATAAATTTAAAACAAAACAATTGTCACAAAAAAAATAAAAATTCGCTTGGTGTCACCTCGAAATCTTGTCACCATAGTATGGCCGCCGATCGAATTTTGGCCTCACTAACCGATCACGGGAGAATATGTGTGTTACCCGTCCCCTCTCTTTCCTTGTCTAAGGCTCTACTATTGCCCCCCCCCCTTAAAGTCCAATTCTTGACTTTGCATAAAGGTCGCAACCCTAATATAAAGCCAATAAACAAAATGGTAAATTACCTGCTGTTTGTTGTGGATTAATACCAACACCGTCATCAGTAATTATAGCTGACGTAGCTGGTGGGACCTTAAATTCCTCCGCTGCAAATTTCAACACAGCTGTAAAAGGAGTCTGTTCAGGAACACTAAGCCTAGGGAATATATACATATATTTAACAAAACGATATTTTAAAAAAATGTTTAATATACAAAAAAAGATATACTGACAACAATATCACTGTTAATAATACAAAAATACTATAAATCAATCAACTTGAAAAAGATCTTCTTTCAACTGAGACCACAAATCTGTGTTTGAATATTCTTTAGCTTGTTCTAATCTATCAGAAACATAGTGTCCATTATCACTTCCAATGTTAATTATAATTTTTAAAATTGAGAGTAGATCAAAATAATTTATTTCTGGATATAAAGATAAAACAGGATCACTTTTCCATTCACAAACATTTATAACATCCTTCTGAAACATTGAGCCAACATATTCAATAAAATTCATAATAGATTCTAAAAAAAGTTTATAATTACATGACACTTTTCCTATTTCTTCTCTATCGACTACCTTAAATAACGTTAACCAGAAGTTTTTTGTCAATAGACTTCTATCACACATTTTATTCAGAATTGAATTTAAAATAATTGTTTTTACTGGATTCAATGTATTAGAAGAATCAGATACACATAACATACTAAAAAGCTTCGGTAACATATCAGCAACTTTATACAATGAAACATAACTATCTAATTCTGATTTTAAGACATCTTCTTGGCCATCTATAACAAACTCGTTCCATTTGTTTAAAATAATTGTATTTTTAAGGTTACTACTATCTTCTAAACTGAAATTTACAAATTCAATAATAGCAGAAACAGAAGAACATTTTGTAATAAGTCGTTCCAGAAAAACTTTGAATCTCTCCTTTGGGTATATAGAGCAATAAACTCTAATACTAATATCTAGACTAGTCTCCTTTACATTGTCATACTTGAATACTTTTTCCAAGATTTGATCGTTTGCAACAGCAAAAAAGGCTACATCATAACACTTGATACTCTTTTCTTGACACCATTTTTCTAACACTTTCATAAACTCGGATATATAGTTTTTGTTTTGAAACTTTTCAATGCATTTCTCTATAAAACATCCTAACTTAAAAATGGACTTAATATTCTCTGTAGTAGTGTTCTTCACCCACAAAGGATCATTATATGTATGTAAAAATGTCTCGAAAGATGTTAGTATTTGTGTGATATTAGAAGAAGCATTTTCGTTCATGTTTGCTGAAGGTCCATGTTGGTAAATTCTCTGGGCCAATGCTAGTTATCTGTTAATAAAAAAAGAAATGTATTTAGTGAAAAAATTACACCATATGTTCAAACAAAAAGTCAATGGAAACATCAATAATGTTTACAGAGATTTAGATTTTTCTCTGAGATTTATAGAGATTAGCACCAAAAAATCTACCAACAATATATTTAAACTAAATCAAATACTTACACTTTAAATGGTAATTTAGGGTCCGACGTTAAAATAATTTTGAAAGTAACTTTTGAACTAAAAATATAAACATGACTGATTTATGTAAAACACGGCAGTATTTACTTACCCCATTCTAAGCAGCAATATCTACGTATATTTTCAAATATATGTTATAAAATTAATTTATAACATTTAAAAATAATTTTTGTAAACACGACGTGTCTTGATTAGAAAAAATGTGTCAAATTCTGACATATGACAGATCGTATATAGCCATAAAATATTATGATTTTTAAATTCATATTTTAATGACGTTTATAAAATTAAACAATTATATATGATGCCCACAGACCAAGGTAAATGTTTGTATTCCTCCCAACTTCAAGTTATTTACAAATGTACAAATATTTTCTTTAGTTTTTGCATTACGTCATAGAACTATCTCTTTTCTACACACAAAAATAATTTGTTTTTGTGGCCCGCCGACGTAGAGCAATTTAGTAATAAAATATGTAGAGAAACGTCCAGAAACCGTTTTCCCGCACTTAAATAATTTTTTTGGAAAATTTTGCAATGCCAGTGGTTATATAGTCAACATTTTTATAATTACATTAGAAACTACATTAGGAAGATAAGATGAATAATACACAGTCATTGTTTAATCAGCAATACGGTTTTTGTAAGTATACATCAAATGATTTGCTAAAATATTCTGTTTATACTAAAGAATTACTATGTTTAAAGATCTGTAGTGTATCATCAGATGACTATTATATGTTACTATTTATAATTTTTAGCTCAATGGAAACAGGCGGATAGTGTAATGCACCATTTACATTGCGAATATGAAGTTTCCGATTTCCCATTAGTGGATTCTTCCATGTTTGCTTGTAAAAGTGCAGTAAAAGATGGCAACGAACATTTTGTTGGTATGGCAAACGAAGACGGAACACTGGCAGTAATAGATTGTGAAACCAAAGAAAAGTAAACATTGTAAATTGAAAACAGTACAGTTTTTTAAGTTGCAATACTTTTTAGACATAGTACACTAGCACACAATAATGCAATATTCGACTTGTCATGGATGTTTGATCAAATGCAAATTGTTACTGCATCCGGAGACCACACATCCAAACTGTTTGATTTTGGTGATGGTGATTTCAGGCAAGTCAGATTGTTTTGTGGTCATAGTCGTTCAGTTAAAACAGTAACTTTTCGTAAAGAGGATTCAAGCGTGTTTGCAACAGGTACATAACTGTTTAATAGATTTTTGAGGAATTAAAGATAATGTATGTATTGAAGGTAGTAGAGATGGTAACATTATTCTGTGGGATACAAGGACAGAACAGCATAGCTTTATTGGAGTACCGGATAGGATTATTTTAAACTCACATGCAGGGAAAGATACACATACACCAAGTAAATCAAGGAAAAAGTTACAATCTTGTGTCAATTCAGGTATAACACTAAAACTTCTTTATAGAGTCTATTGAATCGCCAACCTGAACATAGGAAATCTCATGTAAACTATAAAAATGATGAATACAGTAAAAATTATTTGAATTATATTTATTTTTTATATTGATTATTATTTTACAGTAAAAATTATTTGAAACTTTCTAAAGAACTCCTTAAAATGAAGCAAATTGTTCATTTTCAATAGCTTCTACAAATTGCTCTTGGGGTTATGAAAGATAAAAAAATATACTAAATTAATCGAAAAGATTTGAATAACAAACATGCCACCTTCAAATTCAATTTTTTAATGTGAAATTGATGTTATTGACAAAAATAATTTGTAAATATGAATTACACAACTGAAGAAGAAAAATTATAATTTAATTGTATTATGGAGATAAGTAAGGGACTTATTTTCTGTATATTTTCCAAATAGAACAGAACTATAAATGTAAAAAGAATTTAAACCGAAAGTTATTAAACACTGTAAATATAAAAATAAGACACTAATATTGATAAGGATCATAGAGAAATAATAAATGAAGATTAGTTAAATATTCTGTTATATGTGGAAGATGAAAATCAAATATGTACTTGCAGAAATAGTTGAAAAACAAGTTTTATTATTCAGGGGTGAAGAACACAGAGTAAATTTTCTCCATTTTATAATTAAACAAACGGTATTATTGCATGATTAATACATTTTTTTTTGTAAAAATTTCAGGAATAAAAAGCGTTACAGGCCTAGTGTTCCAGGACTACAACACACTAATTTCATGCGGTGCTGGAGATGGTATGATTAAAGTTTGGGACCTCAGAAAAACCTATTCAACTTTAAAAAAAGAACCTCTTCCTAAATTTACCATACCTTACACGGGAAGAACGGCAAAAAATGGTTTTAGTAACTTAGTTATTGATAGTTCAGGTAGTTTGACTTGTTATTTTCTTGTTACTCTGTGGTTTTTCTTATAATTTTATATAATTTCAGGTACAAAATTATATGCAAATTGTCTAGATAACACGATATATTGTTACAACGTAGCCACATACAATGTTATGCCAGTTGCGAAGTATACCGGACACCAGAATAGTTCATTTTATATCAGGTCTTCTTTAAGCAAAAACGACAAATATTTAATCAGCGGCAGTAGTGATGAAAACGCTTATATTTGGAACTTGAAGTATTCAGAGCCAATAGTAAAGCTGGTAGGCCATAGTGCAGAGGTAAGCGCAATAATACCTAAAGAATAATTAAGAAACAAGTAATTAGGGATGGGTTTTTCACTATATATCGATAACTGTCGATAGTTATCGATATATCAAATATCAATAGGTGACATTAAAATTATCGATTTGTCGATAACTACCGATATATCGATACGTATCTATTAGGGTGTCCCAGAAATAAGTGCAAATATTTTAAGGGGTGGTACCGATCTCGATAAAAGAAACATTTTCTCTTTGTCCTTTTTCCAGAAAGTCCAAAATAACGGAGTTATTTTACTTTGAACCACTGGATCTTTTCTGGATTTTCTTTCTTGTAAATTTAATCTACTACCTATGTTGCCATATTATCAAGAAATTATGTTTTTTAACTAAAAACTAAAAAAAAACACTCCAATAACTATCAATAGTTCTCAATATATCGAACAACAATAAGTGAGTTCAAAATTATAGATATATTGATACTTATCGATATATCCGATAACCGAATAATATCCAATTACCAATAAACTGATTACGATCGGTAAGTCGATAGTTATCGATATATCGATAATTATCTCCATATTGATAACTAAGATATATCGATAGGTGAATTGCGATACTTATTGAGGGTAAAAGCCATTATCGCACGTCCCTACAAGTAATCTAGTGTAGTATGAGGTTAGTGACTTGTGCTGGTCAGTTATATTTAAATTGTTTTTTCCTGTCATTTTATTAATGTCATCTGAAGGTAGATGAAGAATCTAAAACTAAATATGAACCATTTTTTTTTTCAAAATTTTAGTATGTATGAGCATTTTTTGACATTCTTAATGAGAAGTGTCAAATCTGACAGGTAGACATAGTCACTATTACGATAATATACTTAATGTTTAATTTTGGCACAAGCAGAATCTAACAGCTCTACCCTTAGAACAAATATATGTGAATAGACAGATATGGTCCATTTAAAAACAGGAATTGTTAGTTGTTTGAACTACACGCAAAAAATTCTAACCTCCATTGAGATCCAACGACATAAGCGGGTTTAGTTATTCTTGTTAAACTTTTAACAATTAAAAAGAATAAAGTTCCAGTGTATAGGCTTGGTGCATTCTCCGCCGGTGCTGCCACCATCAGAAAATATCGTAAACAACTAGTATATACAAATACACTGGTTTAAATAGCGAGTATACGAAAAATTTATTATCTAATTATTCTAAATGGGTTAGGAATAGGGAATATGCTGGATCCCGCACATGCGGGATCCCTCTGAGATTCCGCGGGATCAAAGTTGCGGGATTTACCGTGCGGGATCGACACATTACTACTGGGTAACCGAATCGATCTCAATCAAGATCAAACCGCTTCTTTCCGGGCCATGCGTCGACGCTCGGTACCTGGGGGATTCCCCTTACGGCTTGGCCATTAAAAATAAGTGAAACAAACAGGTTAGTTGTTAGATTTCTTTCTGGCGTATGTAAGTAAGTGAAAAAAAGCGTTTAACTAGTACTTGCGGACAATTTCGTCAAATAAACTGCCGGACATAATTATCGGGACAAGTAAAATTTTAGGGTAAATGTAAAGTTGAATATCTCTTGAACTAAAAAAGATTTTGGGATGCGGTTTGGACCAGGTTTTAGATGCATCTATTGTAATTAAGTTGCTATGTGGTTTTCGAAAATATATTTAGTGAATACAGGGTGTTTTATAAGAGTGTGAAAATTTGGTTACGAATCTTTTTTACCGCAAATTTACAATTTTTAAAAAATCGAAATTTTTACCAAGTACGAGTAATCTGTATTAAAATTATGAAAAACGATTTGATCGGTTTTATATTTTTTATGTTTTAAGGAAAATATGACGTTTTTTCGAAAAATATGCATTTTTAGTCATACGTATGGTCCTAAATGGCACAAAAAGTTTTGTACATTCTGCATATGCCAAAAAATTATTGATATAGAGTGTATCTAAAAGCAGATAACTAACACAAGTTAAAAAAACTTCAACATCAGAATAATATTTTTATTTGTAAAATAAGTAGATAAATTATAATAAAATTTAAGTTTATTTAATATTAAATATATTTTTTGAACACCCTGTATACATCGGTCTAAATTTCTGTACAGCTAGTTTAAGATTTTTTAGAATTTTTTTAGTTCTAAATTCATTCTAAATTCTAGTTTAAGATACACGCTATATCAATATATTGTAGGCCTATGCAAAATGTACAATGCCTTTTGTACCATTTAGGACCAAATGTAAGACTATTGTATCCGCGGGATTGATTGTTTTAATCCCGCGGGTTTGCGGGATTGAGATTTTGGTGCGGGATTGCATTCCCTAGTTAGGAAGTATAATTTGTGAAAATTCTAAAAATAAAACTATTTTGATATATTCAGAAGGTCTAACATGTATCATAATTTATTATTCCAGCTAAAAAAACTTAGTATTGCAAATTATATTTTATCCTGTCATAGAATATGTCTATTTAATTTTTTGATTATGTAAAGAGCACTTTGTTTACTCACTTGTTTAGTCGAACTGTTTGAATCCGCTTTTGCTTTTGATCAAATCGGTGTGTGAAGTTGTGAAGCTATAAAATGTTGTTTTAAAAAGTTGAGTTATTGAATGTTATTGCACCCAACAACACCCTAATTACACTCTCCTTTACGCGTTAACATTTTTTTGACAGGTTTATTAACATTTGAAATTGCCACAGCACAACACGGCGCCTAGTTCGAATTCTTTTTCACTTATTTTTTATTGCTCGAAACAGCGTTACATCATACAAACCTCGTACCGAAGTATTATACAGGGTCCGGCAATAGTGCCTAGCTCCTAGAATAAAAAACTTGAGAATTTTATTTAAGTGCAAACCTAAAGTATGTACCAGGATGTATTTCAGGAAAATATTTTAACTTCTATAGGGTGGCTCAAAAAAGTGTGAGTGGACCTGGATAATTTTTTTTAAATGGAACACCCTGTATATTATTGCATTTTTGGCTTCCTTTCAGATCACTTTACATAACCCTATGATATGAATAAATATATTTCGATAGTTTCAGAGATATTAAAAAATATATCAAAATAATATATTTTTCAGCCCTTCTTAAAAAAATTATTAAAAATACAGGAACTGTTCTGAAATCAAAACTAAATTAGGTATTTACTTTAGATAGTCTGCACTTACTTTGCTATAAATATGAAAATCGTAAATTATACAGGATGTTCAAAATTCTACACCAAACTTTCTAAATATAAAACAATTTTTCTTCGTTTTTTTCAATGGAACACCCTGTATATTATTTTATCAATAGACGGAGAATTAGAAAATGAACATTTTTTGTATTTAGAGTATTTCAAAATTTTTAACGATTTCGTAGATATTTGCAGTTTTATATTTCATATGGCATTTTCCACAGTAAATTTTTATCAAAGCCACCCAATGATTTTTCTCTCGTATTTTACCATTGAAAGCGCCATATGAAATAATACTGCGTGTATCTGCGAAACCATTAAAATTTTGAAATACTCTAAATACAAAAATGTTCATTTTTTAATTCTCCGTCTAATAAAAAAATAATATACAGGGTGTTCCATTTAAAAAAAACAAAGAAAAAATATTTTATATTTTAGAAAGTTTGGCGTAGAATATTGAACATCTTGTATGATTTACGATTACCATATTTATAGCAAAGTAAGAACAGACCACCTAAAGTAAATACCTAATATTGTTTTGATTTCAAAATAGTTCTTGTATTTTTAATAATTTTTTTAAGAAGGGCTGAAAAATATACATTTTTGATTTATTTTTTAATATCTCTGATACTATCGAAATATATTTATTCATATCTTAGGGTTATGTAAAGTGATCTGAAAGGAAGCCAAAAATGCAATAATATACAGGGTGTTCCATTTAAAAAAAAATTATCCAGGTCCACTCACACTTTTTTGAGCCACCCTATAGAAGTTAAAATATTTTCCTGAAATACATCCTGGTACATACTTTAGGTTTGCACTTAAACAAAATTCTCAAGTTTTTTATTCTAGGAGCTACAGATGCCCGACGCACTATTGCCGGACCCTGTATAGTCTCAATAACTGCACTAGCAAAAAACTAAAATACTTAAATATTATGACAAAGGCACGATTTCGATATTATTTTAGGGCTCTAACTCACTGACGACCAAGTCGCAACGACCTGGCCGTCGCGTCGGCTGGCCGGATGCATTGCGTTTATAGCTGCGGCCAGATGAACGTCCAGAGTTGTCAGATCTAACGATTTTTTACGTTTTACCAATTAGAAAATATTGTTTCAGAACGAATTAAGTTTCAGAAATGTTAAAATATCCGAGTTAACTAAAAAGCGATGTTGCTATTCATGAGCTTATTAAATGTTCTAATATTAAATAATGCATTTAAAATATTCTTGAATTTTTCGTTAATAAATACTTAACTGGTGTGGTCTGGAGTAAGTAAAATCTGCAACCCTGACTACACTATAACGTCGTTATTTCTATGTTTTTCAAATCCGCGATTCCATCAGTCGTTTCATAACAGAATATTCTACGTCCTACGTCTATGTAATTTAATATGTGTAGAGTGAGACATGTAACTCGTGAGATTTTCAGCATTATATCAATAAAGGACAAAAACAGTATTGTTCCTAAAGGTGCGTCCAGACTTGAGCATTTTAGCCCGAACGAACCGAGCGCGCACGAACAAGCAGAACAAATAGGCCGAACAAAAAGCACTGTGTACGCGCGACCGACAAAAAGGGAGATATTCTGTTTCTTTTTTCTACTCATATGGACTTCTACTGATGGCTCTTATCGACTTTAGAAGTAAACATATTAGCGCCATCGTAAAAAAGGGTCGTCAGACACTGGCTCTAAATATAAGCAGGTAGAGAGTTTAGCTTCCAGTTATTTCAATGTTTACAATATAAATTCCTCTTTTTTATTGTTACTGAGAATCTACAACAGTAAATACTTCTATTTTTATGAATGTTTAAGTTACTTTTACTCTTAATTTTTTTTTTAAATAATGTACCTAGTAGAAATATAGTCTAATGAACCCTGTTTGAAAAACGTTAAATTAAAAATAATATTTAAAATACAGTTGTCCTTCTTGTACATGACTACAATACAACTAAAAAAACTAATTTAATAAAAAAAAACAAGTGGTTATAGAAAAACTTTAAATATGATTTTTTTATTTTTTAACATCGAAACTGGAAGGTATAATAACAGGTATCATACATATAAATAGAGTATGTCATATAAAAATGTTTTGAATTTTTAATAGAATCGACCCTTGATAAAAAAAGGGACTAGATTTAAGTTTCCCTTTGATCCAGTCTGTATACTATTTCCTTGGATTTTCTGCATGTGTGCAAAAACTACACTAAAACACTATATCTTATAGAAAATAAAATATTGTGCTTTGAATTTGAGGGATTTCATCTGAAAAATTATTAATTTGGAAGAAAACCGGCAACAAGCGGCAGAAAATAATAATATTTTAGTGCAGTCTACTGGTCGCAACGACCAACGGACGGCCAGGACGTTGGTGTGCGCTGTATCATTTGATTTAATGGTTTTGAGGTAGCAGCGGCCTGGCCGGTGCGACCTGGTCGTCAATGTGCTCGAGTCCTTAATATCAACATACGGTGGCGTGAAATACATACTGATAATTTCTGTCGTTGAAGCCCTGCGGTCGGAATTTGTTCAAATCAACTGAAATGCACCAAGGCCTATACCTACTCAAAATTAATAAAATATCAAAGAGAATTAATAATTTAGGAACGTTCTTAAACTTTTTAAACAATATGAACTGATCTCAGACACACCCCAAAACGCATATTTGACAAACGATGGTGATGACGTAACGTTGAACGTTTGCTGAACACTCTGTATCTGTGTTTTTTCAGGTAACCTGCGTGGCATGGTGCAACAGCAAAGTAACGCCCTCTATAATCACCTGTTCCGACGACATGACCTACCGCATTTGGACCGTATGCGGTGAGGACTGTTCCGACAATATAGTACGGGGTAAAGCGGAAGTGTTGCCTCTGCCTAAACCTCTATCCAGGAAAAGGGTTTGTTGCCCTTCGTTAGACTCCGTTCCAAAAAAATTAGTTTGGGAATGCCCGAACTGTCAAACCGCCAATATATCCGACATGTGCGAGAACTGTATATCGACGAGTTTGAAACGCAAAGCCGACTCTGATCTTTGGAACGACTGTAAAAGAATTCAAACGGATTTCGGTCCTAGAAGATTGTTTGGGTATTTGAACACGAACGTTAAGGATGTGGATTCAGTTAAGCCCCTGGACGGTAATGATGGGGATAGTATGGATTTAAAATCTCTGGATACGGCTCTGGATTCGTTCAAAACGAATTTAAGGAAGGACAGCGAGGTTTCTACGTCACCCACCGTTAATTTACCTAATTTCGTGGTAGATGGCACTGCGCCGCATCTAAACTATTCCCCTCCGAAGCGGAAAAGTCAGGATTGGTTGACTAAAATGCGTACGGAGAGGAAAATCCGACAGGAGATAATGGAAAGATCGATGGGGCCACAGAGTCCCAAAGTACCAAAGTTAGAATTAACACCGAGGAGCAGCAAGAAGCGTGGTGCAGCGGCAAGTCCATTACTGAGGTTTTTTAAGGTGACAAATAGTAGTAATAAAAACGATAGTTTAAGTTGTTCGTCTAAGACGCATAGTTGCAATTTTTTCAGTAAAGGTAAAACGAATCAACAGCTAAGTCAGTGAGAAGAACAATTTTGAATAAGTTTTGAATATGATTTTTATCTCCAATGAGCTACAGATATTGTACAAATTTCTTTTTTTTTATTCTTAAGCCTTGTCTACATTATGTAACATTTTGCCCCTGTCAGGTAAAACGCATTAACTAGGGAACACACTGAAAGTTTTGCCTGTGTTAGACGTTTATGGAAAACAGGTTATAGAATTTTTATGAAAATTTGAATTTTTACATAAAGGTACCTGCTCCATCTTTCTAAAATATTTTCGGCATTAAGCCCCGTTCTCAGAACAGCGACACGTTAAAAGAACCAATGAGATTTGTACAAAATTCAAACAGCTTATTTAAAAAATAAAGACATTGTTTTTGATGAGGTTGAAAAGAAAAATCGTGTAATTTTTTCAAAAAATTGTAACTATATACAGGGTGTTTCCTAAGTAATAAAAAAAAATTGTAATTCTTCATCTGTTTTTAAGAAAAAAATTCATATAAACATGGGGTCCTGAATCCTGCCTAGACTACTTGAACCAGTGGTGTCCATACACACACTCCTGGATTAATTTATTAAAATAAATGGTACGCCACTGCTTTTTCAAAAAATATATTTTTTCCTGATTGTCCATCCTTTTTCAACAAGATTGATCTCTTGAGTTTTTCTTGTAACTTTTAAAAAAATTGGAAATTTGGCTTATTCAAAAAATTAGAAATTTGTTATTAGTGCATATGATATTGTGCATTTATGGGTTTCCATGCATCTGTAATGCGTCGTCCGTCACGTCAAGCACAAAGTATTAGCGGTCATTTTTGAAATAACCAATAAAATTGCTTAAAACCAATGACTGATGCATGTAAATCCACACTAATAATAAAGAAAAATCGTTAGTAATTGGGCAATTATTAACAAATGAAGAAATAATAAAACAAATATATAAAACTATATAATGTAGGAATATAAGTACATAAAAATCTCTGAATTGTGATATTTAAGAAATAGTAATTAACACATGGTCAGTGAAGATTCTTCTGCATGTTATTAATTGTAAAAATAGTTCAAATGCTACTTTATTTTAAGATAATAAATGTGGATGTTTTTCTTAAAATAATAGCTATTGGAACGTCCACTCATGGATAATTTTAGGTGTCTACACACGTAGTATATTCTATATATAGTCTGTTCAAGGAGAGAATCCATGACAGTTATCTGTCTCTGACATTTTAACTGACAGGTAAAGTGAATTTTCTGTCATTTTTTGGATGTTGTCTGTTGTTCATTTGACAGACTATATGTATTTATACACCTATGCATGTATATGTTCTTTGACACATGTTAAAGTTGTCATGTTTATGTTCCAGTGTTTTCTGTCCTTCTATAAATACCTCTTCCTATATTTATATGCCTAGTATTAAATTACATTTTAGGAGATTGACTGAAATAAAAGTAAATGTATTTATTTAAACAGTTCTTTTATTTCATATCCTTATTTCTACTTAAAATACAATTTACAATAAATAAAATACATCAATATCCCTTCTGTTCTAGAAAGTATTTAATAGCGTTAACGTGGTCTCCGTTTATTCGAATATAGCCTACAAATTCGTTAACTTGTACCCTGAGAATTTGAAAAACTTGCGGTTGCAAAAATTCCTTAATCTCCTTTTCTAATTGCCAAATATCACCCTGGATAGATTTTAATAATGTGGTTCTTTTAATACCACGTTGTCCTATATCTAAATAGCAAGGAATCATATGGTTCTTTGTTCGTTTGATAAAGTAAGGTTTATCTGCGATATCAATGGTTTGAGGTCGCCAGCCTATAATTGTAATAGATTATTTAATAACAAAGTATAAAGAATGCTCTGAAATATTGAATTAACCTATACCTGAGGGATATACATCCTTTTTAACAGGAGTTGGTACAACTTTTGGTGGTAATACCCTCTGAACATAACTCCAGTCAGTTGTATCTTTTGTTACCTCGTATGATCTATTAACACTGCCAAGATCTTCAACATATGGGGAGGATTGAAAACTAGAATCTCTTTTTTGACCAAACTATAAGAAATATAATGAAGAAAAGTTGTTAAATAGTACTATTTCGGTTTTACATTTACCTTGGGGAAAATTAAGGATGGAGCTCTGTGTGAAATTGCACGACATCTTGATGCAATAAACATTGTACAATATCAATCTTTGTAGTACAATGCTAAAAATTTAAGTTAAAACTTTAGAAAATGGAAAAATTTAAGTTAAAAATGTTAAAAAATGTAAAATTTAAAGGTTAAAAAAGTGGGGTTATTATCTACAAATCTATATGATCTACTAAAAATATGTGTTCTGTGGTAAAACTTCTCTGAACCTAGCTACCCACAGATGCTATATTTTAAACATCATATAAATAATATTTACATTAGCGCGCTGAGATTTAAATTTAAAACTCAAGGTTTCAAATGCGTATAAAAAAAATAATTGAAGAAGTTTATTAAATTAAACAACTTTGTTTTTTAATTATATATTTTTATAATTATATATACAACTACGCTATTTATAGATAAAGTAATAAACTTAAATTATTATTATATAAAAAATATTTAACTGTAGAGACTAGGTTTTGGCTTAATATTATTTAACTCTAGCTAACTAGCTAACTATTATAGTTTTGTTAAAGTTGGTATTTTACAAAATAAAGAAGAAGGTATATTTAAAAAATACTTATGCTTTCAATACAACTAGAAATATAATATTTACTGGGATTTCACTCTCAAGCAAGATAATGCAAAAATAAATATAATATATTAATTTGTTTTATAATATATTAAATTATAACTAATAACCTATTGTTTCTATGTTCTTAAATTTGACACAAAACAGTACATTACATCACATGAAAATATATGTATACCTATTTATAAATCAAATAAAAATATATTTAATATAAAAAATATCCTAAATTTTAGAGAGCTTCTAAAAGATTTTACAATAATTAAAGAGATTTTGATTGTTTTTATTTATTTATTGTTTTTATTTTGTATAAATAATAGTGGTGACTCTCTATATTGTTTTAAAAAATACTAGGTATTCTGGTATTCAAGAAATAATATATAAAATATAGTACACTTTTATTTTGAACCAAAATTTCTGAGATTTTGCGTTTGTATTTTCTTTGAAAATAAAAAACAATTTTATGGACTCCTACCTAATGTCTAATTATCTCAATCATACTGGACATTGTATTAAAACAAAATATACTTGATTTTTATTATTTATTCATCTTTTCTGGGACATCTTCCTCTTTCTTTAATATATGAGCCATATTCACATTGAACAATACCACACTGGTTGTTCAAGATGCATCTGAAAGTAAGAAAAAATAATTTTGTGAAATGTCATATATTAAGAATATAATATTACCATAAGCCCATGAGCTGTGAAAGAAGTTTTAGTCGGCCGACTGTTTAGTTGCAGGTTTGTAACCAATGTATTCTTATGAGAGATGTGCTCACATTCAATCAAATATAGTCGATGAGCGCGGCACGATCTATAAAAATATATTGGTTACAAATTTGTAACTAAATAGTCGGCCGACTAAAAATTCCCTGTCAGCGCACGGGCTAACGATCGAAAAAAAAAAGCGTCAGAGAGTCAGCTTGTAAGTGAAAGTCGTTGTTATTTATTTGTGTGTTAAAATCATAAAATGAATATCATAATTATCGATCGTCATTTTCAAACCAACATGACGCCCATTTTTCGGATCACAACAATATTATCTATAGGGTAGTAAAACCAAAATGGACCAACGCAAAGCCTAAATAACTTAAATCGATATTATATAGGGTGGTCCAAAAAGTCTGTGGTAAACTATACATAGAGGGTGATGAAAGGACGATGTTCTATCTATGGGTATCTCGGAAACTACTGAAGATAGAGAGTCGGTTAAATGGGGAAAGAATTCCAGTTTTGTGCTCTCATAAATATGCGTATTTCAGATTTTTGAAAAAGTTCATGGCTTACTATTAGATATTTCGAAAAAAAACAAATTTCGGCTATTTTAAAAGTTCTCCCTAATTCCATTATAATATATATTTTAGACAAAAAGTTTTCAGATAAAAGTTGTAGATAATCACATCCTTAATGAGATTGTGTTCTCCGTTTTTTTTCTAAAGCCAGTCCTTTTTGACATATGACACAAAACATATGTTTGTTTTAAATGGAAACCGTAGTTAGCCACGACTTCATAAAAAGCGCCATTTTTTAAGCTTTTCAGCGATAAATAGACTTTTTCACAAAATTACTGAGTTATAGCTAATTCTTATCGTTCTTGACTAATTTCACTTAGTTAGCCATTGAAACAAGTTCAATCGTCGTACGTTCATCAAAATTTTGTAATTTAATAATAATAATAGCTCCCGTATATAGCGTTTAACACCTTGGGAGTAGCAAGGTACAGCTTGCCATACTAGAGCCGTCCGGAATACAAGGAAGGTAATGTGGCTAGCACTACGCTTCAACCGCCTATTATTACCTCAGGATTGTGAATCCCAAGTACTATCGTTTAAGGCTGAATCGACCTAGGTACCCAAACTATTTTTATTTTAATAAAAATAGTCGGCTGACGAAATGCCGGGTGTAGGATTCGAACCCACTACCTTGAGATTGGTAGACGAGAGCCTGTACCTCTACGCCACCGAGTACCACAATTTTGTAAATTAAAATAAACAAAAATTGTAAATATGAATTTTTCATATGAAGAAATGCTTGTAGGATTATTGGATCAACTTTTCTTGGCCATACAGTTTCGAGGACACATTGACCGGTGAACTTTACTTACGTTTTTTAGAGACGGTTTTCAAGATATGTTAGAAAAGTTAAATTTAGGTAATCGCGCATTAATAGAGTGGTTCCAATATGACTCTCATTATGACACCCCACCAAATAATAATTAATAATATATTTTGTCTTTTTATAAGTTATAAATCATAACAAAATAAGAACACCATGCCAGCTAAGTGAAATTAGTCTAGAAAGATAAGAATTGGCTATAACTCAGTAATTTTTTGACAAAAAACATATTATAGCTTTTATATCGCTGAAAAGCTTAAAAAATGGCGCTTTTTATGAATAAGTCATGACCAACTATGGTTTCCATTTTAAAAAAAACATACGTTTGTGTCATATGTCAAAAATGACAGGCTTTAGAAAAAATCGGAGAACACAAGCTCATTAGGGATGTGATTACCTACAACTTTTATCTGAATTTTTTTTGTCTAAAATAGATTATAATGGAATTAGGGACATTTTTTAAAATAGCCAAAATTTGTTTTTTTTCGAAGTATCTAGTAAGCCATGAACTTTTTCTAAAATCTGAAAGGCCCATATTTATGACCCCACAAAACTGCAATTCTTTCCCCATTTAATCGACTGTCTATCTCCAGTAGTTTTCGAGATACCCATAGAGAACATCGTAGGAAACTCACCCTGTATATAACTTCATATTAAATAATACCTTTATACCGGGTGCGTCTCAAAAGTGGCTCACCTCTATAACTTTTTTATTTTTTCAGATAAAAAAAACGAGATTTGGTACAGTACGTCTGTCCGTTCTGTAGCTACGGGGTATCAGTGAGAGGGGAAACGATATTCTCTCGATGTTTTTCGTAAAAAATTAGACGACGCGTCCCATCAATAAAAATTCGACAAATTTGCAAGTAGCCAATAAAATGAGTGGGCGGTGACGTACTCGTCAAGTCGACGTATAAAATATATTGCTGTTTATTTAAATGTTTTTGTCCGCATTCCTTTCATAGACACAGATCCAGCAGACGAACTGTATGTTCATATATGACATAAATTAGGAATTAGGATTGATTGACGATCAATTGTTTTTGGTTTGGTTCCTGTGTTTCACCGGAAATAACTACAACTTCAGATACTTACAATCTGTCACTAAGGCCGTTGTACTCTTTCCCTCTCTTCATCCGAAGACAGTCTTGATTCGATTCTTCGCAGTCGCAGTAACATTTGGACGAATATTTTATTCGAGGTGTGAACTCTTTCGGACATTTACATCTGATGGAAAAAAAATAAAATAAAAAAAAATAATAATTGACCCACTCAAGATACTCGTAGATTTTTGTTTTCAACTGTATTTCCCTGATATACCCCTACGACTGCATACTAAATACCCTAGTATAATACCAGGAATATACCGAGTATACAGGGTGTCCCAGGCTGAGCGTGCATTACAAGTTTCTAGAGAACTACAATATCTAGATCGGGGATTTTTTGCACATCATTGTTTCACAAGGAGATCTATCGATTAAAAATATTTTCTATATGGCAGCACTTCCGGAAATAACAGCAACTTTCTTAGGTAAAATACGGTACCCCCATTTTTTTATCACATATTTAAATGCTTTATAAAATTTTGTGAGTTTTGATACCAAACACTGGATAATAACATTAACCGGTTTTGGGAAAAAATTATTTAAAACTTTTGGAGGAAAAAAAATGCATGTTAAAAAAAAATCTGTAGCCTAAACGACAAGATGAGTGATTATCACAGTCATTGTGACAGGTGGGTGGCCATCTATTTCAAAAATTTAATTGTTTGAATGTCATATATTGTTGGTCTTAGCTGTCATGCAATTGAGCGTTTTTATGATTATTTTTTTTTTCACTTTTTTTTTCACTAGCGAAAAGGTTTTAAAGAATGTATAAGAACATGTATAAATCAAAAAGTAACGAATTGAAAAACCTTTTTACTAGTAAAATAAGAAATGTGGATTTCTATTTGAAAAAAAATATTTATGATAATTTTTAATCGCTCAATTGCATGACAGTTCCGGGCAATATTATATGACATTTGAACAATGATGTCTTCTCAATATGTCACAGTGACTGTGGTAATCATTAAATTTGACGTTTAGACTATACAAATTTTTTTGACAAGCAGTTTTTTCCTCCAAAAATTTTAAATATTTATTTTTATGTCTAAATTTTACAGAGAATTTAAATATGTAATAATATATGGGGGTATCCATTTAAAATAAGAAAGTTGTTGTCAAAATGATGTACAAAAAATCGCCGACCAAGATATTGTAGTTCTCTAGAAAATTCTAATCGACGCTCAGCCTGGGAAATCCCATATATTAGGTATACAGGGTGTCCCAGGCTGAGCGTGCATTAGAAGTTTCTAGAGAACCACAATATCTAGCTCGGAGATTTTTTGCACATCATTGTTTTACAATGAGATCTATCGATTAAAAATATTTTCAATATGGCGGCACTTCCGGAAATACCGGAAGTTGACAGCAACTTTCTTATTTTAAATGGGTGCCGGCATTTTTTATTACATACTTAAATTCTCTGTAAAATTCTATATATATTGATGTTAAACACTCTATACCTACCATTAACCGATTTTGAGAAAAAAAATATTTTACATTTTTGGATGAAAAAAATTACCTGTGAAAAAAAATTGTATAGCCTAAAAGTCAAACTTAGTGACTACCACAGCCATTATGACATAAAGAGAAGACATGCGGCTATCTATTTCAAAAATTAAATTGTTCAAACGTTATATAATAATGGCTGTAGCTGTCATGGAGTTGAGCGATTAAAAAATTATCAGAAATCATTTTTTTCAAATGGAAACCCACTTTTTTATTTCACTAGTGCAAAGATTTTCCAATTCGTTACTTTTTGAGTATACATGTTCCTATACCTAAAATAAATCGTTTTTAAGTTATTTAAGATTTAGTTAGAAACATATACCGTATGATCGAAAAAAAACGGCGTCCAGTTGGCTGGGAAATGACGATCAATGACATTTCCCATATAAATTTACATATAACATGACAGCGATCTTCATTTCATAGCCATCGTTGCCGTTTTTTCTCGATCATACGGTATTTTTCTTGATTTTATCTAGCTTCCTTTGACATTAAGTGTCAAACAGTCAGACAATTTATTTCCATCTTTCAGAAAACGAATTATTTAAATTTCCTATATTATAAATACTGCCTGCCCTTAAGAGTTTAAAAAGTGTATTTATAAAAATATATCTCGTATTTTCGCTCTTTAGTGATATCTAATAGTTGATATTATTAATAATATACCGTATGACAAAAAAAAAGTGTCACAATATGACATGGCCAGATCTATTGTTTTACATCACTTGACGTTTAAAGTCATAGGCGGGTTAAAGGTCAGAAAAAGTTAGTCACTGGTTTAACCAGTCTTTAAAACTAAATCTTAAATAACTTAAAAACAATTTATTTTAGGTATAGGAACATGTATAGTCAAAAAGTAACAAATTGAAAAGCATTTTCACTAGTGAAATAAAAACAGTGGGGTTCCATTTGAAAAAAAAAAAAGATTTATGATAATTTTTTAATCGCTCAATTCCATGACAGCTGCGGTCATTATTATATGACATTCGAACTATTTCATTTTTGAAATAGATAGCTACATGTCTTCTTTTTATGTCACAGTGACTGTGGTAATCACTAAATTTGACGTTTAGGCTATACACATATTTTTGCCAGGCAGTTTTTTTCGTTCAAAAATTTTAAATATTTTTTTTCTCAAAAACGGTTAATGTTAGATATAAAGTATTTAATATCAAAATTCATAAAATTTTACAGAGAATTTAAGTACATAATAAAATATGGGGGCACCCATTTAAAATAAGAAAGTTGCTGTCAACTTCCGGTATTTCCGGATGTGCTGCCATATTGAAAATATTTTTAATCGATAGATCTCGTTGTAAAACAATATGCAAAAAATCTCCGATCTAAATATTGTAGTTCTCTAGAAACTTCTAATGCACGCTCAGCCTGGGACACCTTGTATACCCACATTTTATTTACCTACCTTTGGGGTATTTATCCACCATCCATCACTAGCCTTCACAGACAGGTAACTTACCTAATTTGTATATTTTCCGGACCGTCACTTCTGGATTTGAAATCTAATCCACCATTTCGCGTTTGGTTGAACACCTCCGCACTGCCCCCATCTGGCGTGCCAGTCCTTTTGTGTCTCTCCGTGACTGCCTCTTCCTGTTTTTCCTTGCACTCGCATTCCGTATGGTTGTAAAACGTCAATTTTTCCACCTTGGCTTGGTCCGAACCCAGTTCCTTCACCTGAAACCAGACGAAGTTTATGGTTTTTAATGGTCGCCACCAGACCCGACAACAAATACATCGGTTTTTTTCAAGGAATTTTGTTTAGAGTTGTTGCCGCTTGAACGTGAAAAGTATTGGTTGGCATTTTAAAGTTTTTTATTGTACTTTATTAGGGTTTAAATCTCTTAAGAGAAATAGGTAAACACAGGGACGCGCTAATGTACAGGGTGTCGCAGTTTGCGTGCAAACCACATTAAATAAAACGGTTAATTTTAGAAGAACTACAAACACAAAAATATGTTGTTTTTTTTTATAAAATTCAACCGATTTGATAGTACTTTATCTACGTCAGTGAGTTAAGAAGCTCTTAACTCACGCATTTTGAGTGAGTGAAGAGCTTCTTAACTCGCGCTGTATCTTGCGTAAGAGACATTTCCGACACATAGTGTGCTATATCAAAATTAATATTTCGACGTCCTCTATTATTCCCCGAAAGCATGACCGACTTACAGGAATCACCCTGTATATATGATCTAGGGATAAAACTCATTTGCAATCAAAATGGGACACTCTGTACATTCAGCAAATTATTTTCAAATTACTTAAAATATGTACATACAGATGTTACACATCTAGGTACTTCATCCTATAGATATTATTTAGAATAATATTTGTTAAAAATCAAATAGTATATTATAGCTTCATTCAGTTGTATTATTATTATTATTAAATAAATTATTATTATTATTATATTTATGAAACCGGAAAAAATATATTCATTAAATTTAGGACTAGAGTTTATAAAAAATTTTCTGCTCTTCGAATTCTTTCATCGCTCATTTATTTTTTTCGATAAAATCACAATTTTTATGATTTACGACCCATTTAATTTTCGAATTTAAAACTCGTAAACTTTTATCGTCACTTTTAATAACCAATAAAAAGTTCCTTCCCAAAGAATTTTGCGCAAATCCGCTTAGCCGGCATGAAGTTCTCCGATTAATCACAAATTTTTATCCATCAGAAATTTTTTATTACTTTTAATTATCTGTAAGGCTAAAAGGGGTCGTCTTAAAATAAGTTCGCGGAAACCGAGAGCTTCTTGGCAAGTGGAATCGCTAAATCGGCCTTAAAAGACAAAAAGTACAACAAGGGACATTATAAAAGAGCATTTCGGATACGGCTGTGGTCGTCTGGTGGAACTAAAATAGTTGCACATGGTCGAGATGGCATCAGTTTTGTAATAGCCGTTGATACTGTTAAATAAATAAAACTAGATCGGGGTAGTTACACTATTTGAGCCATTGAAAACCAAAGTGGTCTAAGTCAATTTTTTCCTGATTCCTGATGTAGTTTTCATATATGTCACTCAAAATTACGGCGTACGTTGATTAAATAAGGCAGTTGACCCATACAAAATTTGGATAGAATTTCTATTTAGACTCGTATTTAGATATTAAGCACATATCCAGCTGGTAAGGTGCTGGGGGAATCCCCTAGCGCCTGGCTTGGTCTAACAAGCATCTCACTCAACGTCTTGTCCCTGGCTGTAGTGTCGTGGCCAGGGAATTGCACCAAGACATATAACGATGCCGGACGAGGCTACCCCTGTCCGTCATACCAGGCACCCTCTACTGACTGTGGTCATGTCTCGCGGGTAGAGGGGGTGGGGGGGTCTTGGCTTAACAGCCTGGACCAAGAGGAGACAGCCTCACCAAAAACCTAAATCCTACGATAGCGGGACGTGGTTAAATAGAGGACTAGCCATTACTGGCCTCAACCTTGGGGCATCAGGGGCACCCCATTGTATTCACCCCTTACTTCTGCATGCGGGGCTCTGTAGAAGTGGACCGACTATCCCTAGCGACTCGTGGGAACACTATGAGATCTAGTATTAAAAACACCACCGGTGAAGCTGTGGGGAAGCCTCCTAGCGACACTGGGAACATTACAAATGAAAGTTCCAAGGGACCAAATCCAAAGGAAACTACAAGAGGGGCGGCTGCTTGGGATCATCCTCCACAAGTGGCACACAAGCTACCACCTTCTCCAGCAAGGGTCGGAAGCCTACCTCTAGACCCAATAAGCGACACAAGCTACCGTTTCGTCTACCCGGCTTGGGTCAATCAGGTGAGCTAGACGATCCTCTGAGAGTAGGTCTTAGCGGAGAGGAGGACTTGCTTCAGAGGAAGCAAAAGCGAAAACACTCCTCCGAAAAGGGGAGAGTAAAGAAACCAAGAAACAACCTGACTCATCTCCATCAAAGGGCAAGAGAGGGAGCGAGGACCTCTCACCTCTTCTCCGGCAGGGAGAGAAAAAAGCCAGGATGGAAAGTCGTCCAACACCGGGAGGCAAGCAGGGACGTATCACCAGCTTTGCCGCTATTGCTGGACAAGTGAAAATGGCGGTGTTGCCAAAGGATTTACCAGAGGTTGCTCTGACCACCGACCAGCAAACGTCTCTAGAAAAGGCTATACTGGAGGAAGTAAATGGAGATCGGATAGCGACACAACGGTCTACAAAATGTGGGTCAGCTGCGTTTTGTGGGGATACACTCTCGGGTGGGCATGATCCTCATAGATTGTGTATCTCAAGAATCGGCGAATTGGTTGGTGGAAATTGCATCTAAGCTTAAAAATTGGCAGGAGCCGGAACTGGTTGCAGTGAAGGGAGAAAACATCTCTAAAGGGGCGGCCATAACGGTCTTTTGCCGAGGAGCAAGGGGAAAGACACCACCTACCTGCTGAGCCTTATCCAAGGTCAGAATTTCAATGTAAGGACATCGAGTTGTCGAGTCATCAGCTCGAGGGAGGAGGGTCATGATCAGGTCCTCACAATAGGAATTGACCTCAGATCCAAGGCAGCAATAGAGAAAGAGGGATATATCCTCTATTATAGATACGGGACAACACCGGTATTAGGTCTAAGGAGAGACCAAGTTAAAGAGGTGGAGAAAGTGGACACAGATCATCCAGCCTCCATCTCACGGGTTCCTCAGCCGGAGGCAAGCTCCTCGACTGTGAAGGGCAGCACGGAGGGCCAAACTCCAATCGTGGAAGGCTGTGTACCCTCGGAGGAAGAACTGTTGTCAGAGGAGGATGGGAAATACCCTGTCCCCTCTACAACAGGGGTATGATGGGTTATAGACTGTGTGATGACTCAAGGAAGGGGGGAAGAAAGATCTTTAAGGTCGCAGTGATTAACCCCCCCTCTTACTCATTCTACATTCTACATTCTACAACTGGTAGTATAGTTCAACCCTAGAAACACGCCTATGAATTTTTTTTTCGCGAAAAAAAAATTTGAAAATTCGTTTGGAATTTTTTTTTAATTTTTAGTTAAAAAATATAATTTCTTTATAATATGGCAATATAGGTATTAGATTAAATTTACAAGAAAGAAAATGCAGAAAAGATCCAGTGGTTCTCAAAATTTTAGAAGAAAATCACTTTTCACTTTTTTTTAAATTTTCATTTTTTGAAACTTGTTTGTAAAATAACTCCGTTATTTTGGACTTATTTGAAAAACGATAAAGAGAAAATATGTTTCTTTTATCGAGATCTACCACCCCTTAAAATACTTCACTTTACTTTACACTTATTTCTGTACACACACACGCTGACACCCTGTATTATCTTATTAATATTTGTAAGACATAGATACATTTTTTTTAAATATATACTCAGTGATATTGAAAATAGAACACCAACTAAAATTTGTTTGATTTTAATAATCTTTTGTACATGAATGTAGGTTGACAAAAGGGGTAAATGATCAAAATTTGGAGTGAAAATATTGGCTCGTTACCTTGTCCAATAATGTGTTGGAGCACCTCCATGTCCTATACATTCGTTGAGCCGTCTGGGTATGGAACTAATCAGATGATTTATGTCTTCTTACGGTATTTCATCCCATGCTAACTGTATCTCATGCCGAAGAGCTTCTAGTGTCTGAGGAGCATGTGGTAAGTTTGTCAGTCTCCTACCCATGATATCCCATACATGTTCAATTGGTGAGAGATCTGGAGATCTTGGTGGCGAGGGTAGGAGATTAACTTGGGCATTATGTAAGTGGTTCACAGTTAATCTAGCAACATGGGAACGGGCATTATCTTGTTGAAATATAGGATCGTGAAGAGATGAGCTTTCACAATTTCCTCAATATAGCGTTGGGCTGTCATATTACCTCGAACAAATACTAGAGGTGACCTGCTACCATATGCGATTGCTCCCCAAACCATAACGCCTACAACTTGGTTTACGTGCCTCTCCATGAAACCATGAAAACTGTGGATTCCGCCTTTCTCCACGGTACCTTTTCACTCGCGTCCGACCGTCGTGCATTCCCAAACAGAATCGCGACTCGTCACTAAAAACGATAGCATTCCATTCTGCGCCCCATTCTTGTCGGGCTCTGCACCACTCTAGACGTTGTCGTCGATGTTCAGGGGTCAATGGTAAAATCCAATGAGGCCGAAAAGAAAACAGCCCAAAAGACCGTATTCGTCGGTAAACAGTTCGCATCGTGATGAGTCTTCCGTGTTCCGTAAACCATTGGATAGCAATTGCTCGGAAAGTGGCCGAACGGTCTTTGATAGCTAATTGCCTTAAACGGCGATCTTGACTCTCAGTGGTTAATCTTAGACGCCCTGTACCTCTGGTACGATGTTCACGGTGTTGTTGAAAGTAAACTCTACAAAGATTGGCAACAGTGGAAACACTTCTATGGATTCTATCAGCAATCTCTCGAAATGATAATCCTGCCTCCCGCAAACCTACAATCCGACCCCTATCAAAATCACTGAGTTGTCTAAAATTGGCAGGTATTCTAGGCATATATATTGGCAGGTATTCTAGGCATTATAATAAACTCAGAAAAATACCTGAAACTACTCTGTAGCAGAATAAGTAACAAACTGTGCTATATTGTCTATATTGGATGACTGGAATTTTAACAAAAACATGTATAGCACAAAAACTAGTGTGTTGACGGCGTTCAAATTATAATCATTTCTTATC